GAAAAAAGGATTTTGAATGAAGTAAATGCCAATTCAAAAGGTACTGATAGTAAAGTATTTGCTTTTTTGGAAACCTTTTTTCCAAACAAAACCTGTACTAAATTATTGGATGGGTGGAAGTGGCAAACCACTGCCTCACACCAGCTCTTTCTGAATTTTCTGGATCCACCCCTGCTATGTAGACATGTTTGGAAGTTAGTAGAGACTACCTTTATCTTTGAGCAGTTCAACTTAACCCTATAATATAAAAAATATTCCTAAGAAACTTCTTCTGTTTAGTTAGAAAGATCCTTTTTACAAGCAACAAGTAATGGATGCTGTTATATCTAGTTTTTTTTTTTTTTTTTTTTTTTTTTTTTTTTTCCAGGGAGACCTTCTCTTTTTTTTTAGCATACCCTCTTCCACCCCTACCCCATTAGCTGCCTTTATTGGAAAGGTACCTTTGCAAAGTGGTGGGATATTAAGTGCAACTTTCTTTCTTGTCAGCAGATCTCTGATGTTGAACCCCTTGTCGGCCATAACAGAATCCCCCTCTTCAAGTTTGTCCAGTAGACCACTTCTTTCTGTGATGTATCTGTCACTGACATTTCCAGTCCATAGTTTAGAAACAAAGGAGAAGTAACCTGTTGGAGTGATTCCCACCAGTGCTTTCATGGTATTGTGCTGTTTATAGTTACTCCATGTAGCTCTCTGGGCACTAGGGGATGTTGGCTTTTGCAAAAATATCTCTGTGCAATCTATTATTATTCGAGTGCTTGGAAATTTATTAAAAGAACTTGGCAACTTTTTTCTTAATTTCTTCCTTACAAGGCCATTTAAGAAGAATGTCACGAAAAACTGTAGATAAAAAGCAAATCCACGTTGTGAAAACTTTGCTAACTGATCCTTCTGATACTCCAAAGATATCTGTAAGATGTCTGCTTAAAAGCCCAAGTCTGAGTCTCACCAAAGCTAAGATAAATTCCTCCATAATGGTCAATAATCTTTGCTTTCCAGGCTTTTTTTTACTTGAATCTTTTTGATAGCTTACTTTTTTTTTTTTTGTTTTTGTCCCAATACTTAAGTTTTTCTGCAAACGGCTTGAGCAAATTAAATATCATCATAAAGCAAGCAAGGCTAGGTATACCCGTAAAAATTTGACAGACTCGTCATCTTTCAAAACATCATCCACAAAGAGCTCTCTTTTCAATTGTTTTTGTTTGATAACTTTGATTTAAGTTCGGCGTTCTCTTGTTTTAAAGCGTCAATTTTACTGGTTAAAACCTCTAGATCTTCGTAAGGAAAGTCCGTTTGAGTTCCTTTGTCGTTAGGAAGAAGGTGGCAATAATTGTGATCTAAAAGGGCTGCATCGTCGCTTAAGAAACAAATGTCTTTGTCTTCCTCGGTAAGGCTTCTCTTTTGAGGTTCAGGACATTTTTCATCAACAGCACGTCTCTTTCTGTCCTCCAGTCTCTTTTCACGGGAAGAAACACGACATTGGTGGGTCGAGGGATTAAAATATTTCGGTAATTCACCTGGAATAACTTCTTTTCTTCCGCAAAGCGACTTTTTGATGGATGAAGCCTCGAAGTGTGCGCTGCAAATCCGAGGGTTTTTTTGATTTTGGAATTCGGGATCACAACGTCTACAAAAGTTTTTCCATAGCCTTCTAAAATGCCCTGAAGGAAAACAGAAAAAGGATAGATCCGGACGATTCCTCGAACTGTTCGAGCAGTTTGCTACCGAACAAAAATTCACCATGACTTTTGCAAAACTTGGAGCATTTCAACTTACAGTGAAGACAGTGAATGCATTTCTATTTTTTTATTTTCCCAGCTGTCCTCTAAGCCTCGTTTACATGCAAGTACCTAGTTCTCAGGAGCGCGCGTCCAATAATTTCGAAAGGACCCTATTGTTCGTTATACTGCTGACTTCGTTATGTAAAGGTTCGTTAAATCGCGGTTCCACCAGCTGGTGCTCAGGGAAGACCAGACGGCTTCATAATTCGGAGGTGGAAATGGGAGTGGTCAAAAAATGTTACATTTTCAGAAGGGAAATTGGGTACGCGACACGTGAAGGGCACCTTCACCGAATCCTCTTCCGCCTTTTTACACACCCCCACCCCCTCCTCCTTTTTCCCGTTTGAAAGCCTTTCACACAGACTACTCCTAGACCATCTCAGGGGCAGTTAGTCGGGACAATAGAATGTTTGCGGTGAAAGTTACTGTAAGATCGATCTTACAGAAAACTTTCACCACAAACATTCTATCGTCCTAACTAGCTGCCCTGGGTCTCCGAGGATGCTCCTAGCTAGACGGACGTGTAGTGTCAAGAGTGTCCCTCTTAGACTTAGAGAAAGTTGACTGGGAACATACGTTTTTTTTTCAGTTCTGTGTTTACAGCCGGAGCTAAAGAGGAATAAATATTATGGACTAAGCTAGAATAACCTACCCGTAACTTTTCAGCGGAACGACGCCATGATGTTCCCTTTTTTATCCTTTTTCCTGGAAATGATGGAACAAGTATTTCCTCATTATCCAGAAGGTAGATTTTTCGAAAGAAATAATAATGAATTTTTTACCTTTAACTGATTAAACGGACCAACGAATTTTTGTTTCTGGGCTGGAACAATCATTCGAAATGTCGCCAAAGAAGAGGAAAGTTGACGATGCAGATGACCACACAAAATGTTCAATAGCCTGACTGTCAACCTGTTCAGTTACATCGTACAAGACAATTTTTCTTACTATGCGGAAATGTCGGTTTACTAGTAGAACATTGACCGGAAACCACATATTTTAACGTAAACTACAAAAAAACTAGCCTCTGTAACTAAGTAACGTATTTATTCCAAAGGCACGTTCTTTAAAATTCAGCTTCAGAAAAATTCGCCAACATACAAATTGAACGAGGTGAAACAATAACAAAGGTTTGAGAATGCGTTAAACAAGGGTTTAAAGGTTCTTCTTCGGTCACGTTTAATGAGTCACACCATATGTGGTAAGTCACGTGACCAGAACATAAAAAAAAAACACTCTTTAAAACCCAAACGTCTTGCATCTTTCACAATAAAAGCAATGCCAATGGCTTAAGAATATCGCAATAAAAAATCTGACTTGCTAACAAGTTTAACGTTCGTTCTCAAAATTCACATTTATCGAAAAAGCTATGATGTCATTGAGGGGTATTTTCATACATTTTCTTTAACAGACTTTCTTGCTGTTAAAAAAAGTCAAATTGCTTATGATTCGCCAAAAAATGGATTCTCTTTCCTTTGAACTTTTGCCCTTTTTCATTTCTAAAGCGGGATTGGGGACTGGCACTAGTTGCGCATGTGTAATGTCTATTTAGTGTTGTCTTATCTTCAGTTTCACGGTTCCCACCATGTCAGCGGTTTAAGACACGTGAGAAATAGTAACAAATAACATAACTTACCTTTAAAAAAGATGAAAAAGATGAAGGCAGATAACAAAACGATATTGAAAGGAGAGCGAGGATAGCGAAAACTCGTGCCAAATAGCCAAAAGCCGCTGTCACAGCGTTTTGGGCATCCCCGCGTTTTGGGCATCCCCATTCCCAAATCCCTAGCGTTTTGGGCATCCCCGGTGGGGGATGCCCAAAACGCTGATCGCTTCGACTTTGCCTAAATTATTTCAGACTGGGCAAAAGTCGGGATTATCACGAATTTACGGCTGAATAGTGTAGATGCATGTTAGAGTTGTATCGTCTGACACTTTTGGCCGGGTTTATTGCGCAGAAAAAAAACCCATAGGCAGTAAACGTTGGCTCAAAACAGGACGAAACTGAAATTTACAACCGCATAGCATCCCGTCGCTGTACAACGCTTCATTGTTTGCAAAGCTTCAATTTTATTTAATAGAACTGTTTACAAGCGAGCAATGCCGCAATCGCCGGCAGCTGCGATCGTCTGATTTCAAACAGCCAAAAACAACAATACTGAACAAAGCAATCAAAAGACAAACATGAATAAAACTGCGTTTTGCGGTGTTGAATTCATCATATGCATGACATTTGAGGCCTGAACAACTTAACCCCGCAGCGCTACTTGACACACAAAAGGCTGTCACACAATTTATACAGAGGCCTCGTGCATCTACGGGACAGAAGAAATCTGTTGCCTTTTTGAGATGTAGTAGGGGCTTCTATTAAATCAATTCCGACCGAGTACCACACCTTGGGAACAACCTTCACAGGGTGCAAAAGTATTATCGCGGCCGGCGTGTCCAGAAAAAGAAGCAGAGTGGCACTCTTGGTAGACCCTCGCTTTCTCTTCCTCGGTGAACAATTCGTCGAAGCGCTGTGCCATCCTTCTCCTTGGCCACCTAAAACAAGGACTCTAATTTTGAGTCATACTCGAACTTTTTGGCAAATTTCGCAGAGTCGTTTTTTTGCTTTGTCAGCCTTCTGGATAAGCCTTCTTTTTAAGATACTGGAAAAGATTTCTATATTTAGCGGAAGCCATGTCTAAAACGTTTTCGATTTTCCCGCGAAATCCAGCATTTTTTTGGAGGGGATGACCAAAACACTAGCGATTTGGGCATCCCGGGAGGGTACCGGGGGATGCCCAAAACGCTGCAGTAATATGAGAAGGGGATGCCCAAAACGCTAGGGATTTGGGAATGGGTATTCCCAAAACGCTGTGACACCGCCAAAAGCCGAAGAAAGGAAAATAGACTGGGAACTAACATCTGTCTCGCATGGCTCGCATGATGACTCGCATGACTCGCATGACTCGCTGGCTCGCTGTCTCGCAGTTTGTCAAGACCCCAAATTAAAATATAAAGCGAGGAGCAAAACATGAGAAGACAGAACTGAGAAAAAGAATCAAACCATCCTCCAATCACATTTAGCTATCTTTGTTTTGTATTAATTCTTTGTTGTAAGGAAAAATCCAGGATGTTACTTTGGACTGCTTTGCAGACTTGATTTAAAACGCGGTTTCCCGGAAGAAGTCTTCAGCTTCGTAGTCTGGCAACAATGCTGTCCAATCGAGAAGGCTTATTAGGAATTGTAGCCGGGGAGCAAAGCTTCAAATCTTCGAAATGAGTTGTGCAGGAGCACAGGAAGAATCTCTGGAATCTCATGTCAAAGAATTGGTGTTGAAAAAGGAGATAGGCAAAGGGTCTTATGGCAAAGTCTATAAAGCTGTGTGGAAGGGACGCGACGTTGCCGCGAAAAGGTTTCACTCTGTATTCTTCCAAAATAGCTCCTGCCTGCAAGAACACTATATGGAGGAATTTCAGCGAGAATGGAATGTTCTAAAGCTTCTCGATCACCCTAATGTAGTAAAACTACACACTGTTTTATTTCCTAAAGGACTCTCACCCATAATAATCACTGAACTGCTTCACTGTGACCTGGAAAAGTACATTAGAGAGTCCACAACCACGCCAAAAATCCCTGAAATGAAACTGATTTGCATCGCTTTAGATGTAATCGAAGGTCTTAATTACATGCATGGCTTAGAGCGTCCTGTTGCGCATCGTGACTTAGCAACAAAAAATATATTGCTAACGGAGCATGGTAATGCCAAGGTTGCAGATTTGGGGGTGGCCAAAATATTTGAAGCAGGCTGTGAAATGCATGCCACCAATGTTCCAGGAACACCGCTATACACAGCTCCTGAAACATACCCTGTCATGAAGCAGTTTGAGGTGGTAGGAAATGCAAGGTATGGCCCAAAAGTTGATATATTTTCTTTTGGTGCAGTGGTCATGGCTATGATTGTTGGACATGAACCAAGTGTGTGGCCGTTAACTCCAATCACCAAAGGTATGTTTTGATGCGAGCATTCTTCATTCCATAAGTTGCAGTCAAAAAGGCTGCCTGACTCATTTAAGAAGTGGTGAACACGTCGAGTTATTAGGGACTTTAAGATCCAACGACGCAGACGACAACGAGAACATAAAAAAAAAATTGGTTTAATTAGCAAAACAACAACTTCGCACGGGCATCACACTTTTTTGTACATATTTTCTTTCCTGTTTTTGCACGACTATGACGTGAGAATGCCTAATTTCGCGTTTTATGGAGGACGTAAACAAGCAACGACAAAATTTTATTTCTCTTTCTGAGCTTGAATTTGGTCCCTTGAAATTCAGCTTCAGGAGGGTTCGCCTAAGTGGGTAGGAATGATCGCTATAAAGACTGAAAGAACGCAAATTCACTTTTTAAGCGACGTTCTTGTCGCTGTCGCGTCATTGGATCTTAAAGTCCCTATTGATGTACACAGGAGGTTGCTATAAGCACAAAAGCACAGTTGCTTGACATTGCTTCTTGAGTGCTTTGCAAACCTCCCAAGTGCATTCATGACTAGCCTGCGTTGCAGCCGGCCCATGCACTCGACTAAACCATTTGTATACTCCGTCTGCGAATTAGTGCACAAAAGCTCGTTCTAATATCCTGCAGAGTCGCAAGGACATATGTGAACGTTTCGGATAGGCGGATTTCTTACGTGTTTCTTATGAGCCTCACGATTGGCCTAATTCTTACGTGTGCGTGACGGTTGGGCGCAGTGACATGTCAAAATTCACAGAAGGGAGTCGGCAAGGATCGTTTACCGTAAACAATGAAAGAGCAGTTCGAACTTTAAAGCCGTCTTCTAAACAAAAAAAATGCTTTGAGAGAATTCCTTCATGGCCATAATTTGCTTGTAAATTTGCCGACTGGTTTCCCAGCGTCTTCCAAATGCTGTAGATGTACTGCCGCGTATTCTGCAATCTAGCCGACAGTTCTAGAGTTAAAATATATTCACGGCGAAAAAAAAGTACACACATGTAGCTATTCAGGTCCAGGCATTTCGGAGAAAACCAAAGAAACTAAGGTTATTTAGCCGCAATAAAAAAGTTTAAGGCTTAAGCAGAGGTAAAAGAAAAATGTTTTAATGGTAAACTGCATCTGTGATCAAATCAGCTTCATAACCTCTAAAATAATGTGAGACTCAAAGCGGAAAAAAAATTGCTCCGTCAAAGTGTAGAATACTCCACGCACTGCATAAACTACGCAAAAAGAGAGCAAGAAAAACCTCTGTTGCTCAAACTGACTACACTAAGGTCACGTTTCACACTATCACGAGCTCAGTCTCTCTTGTCACGAGCTATGAGTCATGTTTGGCCTGTCAACACTTAATTCAAATCGGACTAATCACAAACTGTGTAAGAAATTAGCCGATCAAAAACGTCGACATATGTCCTTGCGACTCTGCGGGATTCGAACACGATATTGTGCACTAATTCGCAGACGCTATATACAGAAGGTTTAGAGCGTCTGCGATGCAGGCAAATTCATGACTTGATGATTGCACGGCTACCACAGAATCAATGAGAACAACTTTACCAGTATTAGTCCTCACAGGTAGCTGGGAAAAGATTTGAGTGTCATTGTAGTACCAATGCACTATGATGCATGCAAATTATTCTTTACAAAGTCATTTCTTTCCAAAGGATCTTTTCACTGAATAAGTACTTTTCTGCAGGCTGTCTACAATACCTAAATCTATATCCAGTTAAGTAAGCACATATCCATGTATCCCTACAAGTAGTACTATCTGCCCAGTACAGTAACAGATCCCTAGAGAGGGAGGGAAAGGAGCAGTGGTGACTGCATGTTCTTTTTTCCTAGAAATTCTATTCTAATCACAGAACTTGGTTCCAATATTAGAGACAGTTTGATATGGGGAAGTCCTAACTTAGAACTTACATAAATTTATTGATTTGACGCAATATATTAAGCAGGAGACACAGTGTTTTGTCACCAAATGAAATACTGAGAGGAATAACCAGAGTATACCATCAACTGACGTGATACATCTCACTTTGACTCTGAAGATGACTACCACACAGGTTGTCGAAACGTCAGTCACTGTCAACAACAACAGTCCTATTCAGGACTACGTTCACCTGGAGGATCAAACTCAACCTACTTTTGAAATGACTCCTGGGTTCAAACCTTTCACAGTTTTACTGAGAAGAGAGTTGAAAATAGGACGTGCAGTGGAATATTTTTGACAAACTTAAAGGTTGTTTCATCTGGTGATGAAACACTGTGTCAAATGCTCAGTATTACTTTTCAAACAAAATGATTTTAGAAAGAGAAATTAAGGATACAAGAATGAGCAGTTTTTCATCTGATTTCCTTAACACTCACATTTCCTTTGTGTTTTCTTTTTTAATATGAATTATTAATGAGTTTGAGAAGTTCATTCTGAAAAATCTTTGATCAACGAAATCTTCTTTAACACCCTTTTTTCTCTCTAAGATAAAGGTAAGAGATACCTTTGCTAGCCATTGCAGTGCTGAGCAAAATAAATTTGCAGTATTGCTATATAATTTGTAGTTTGAACTTGTAAGTTGCTCTGAACAAACTGTCAATCAAAGCACCCTTTTTGCAATAGTCTGATTGTGAAGTTCCCTTCCTGGTTACCTGCAAATCCCTGCTACAATGAAATGTTGCCCCATGGCCACCTCAATTTAACTCGTATATATTAAGAAGAAGTAAGGAAAAAATAAATTAGGGGCCTTCATAACAGGATTATATTCAAGACAGGTAACCCATCCAGTTCCTAACCTTGGCCGACACGGCTTAACTTGAGTGGCACTATTAAAAAGCGAGTTTTGCCAGGGTAATGTGAGATACATATCTCTAGTAAAACAGTGGACTGTTTATTTATTTGGCTGAAGATCTAAGTGGCAAAGTGGATAAATGGATCTGTAAATCATTTAATTTTTTTAATTTATTATTTTGATGGATAAATCTGTTTTAAGTTGTTATTTAAAAAGTCTGATGAAAATTTTTATTCCTTTAAGATGGTGAAATGATCAGTGAACATGTCCGACGTAAAACAGACATCACTGAGATGGGGGAACATTTCTTGAAAAAACTGGTGTTAGGATGCTTAGAGAATGACAGTACATTGAGACCTGACATCAAGGACATTAAAGAAGAACTTGAAAGGCACAAATGGAAGGTAGTGAAACGATCAAGTTTGCATGAGGCAGATGAAGAAGTTCAGATTGAGAAAGTTGGACGCCAACCATCATACGATTACAAGCTCAAGGTGCTTTTTATTGGAGACGCAGGAGTTGGAAAATCGTGTTTATTCAATCGTTTCAAGAACCCTTTTTTCAATATTTTCTTGAGCACTACAACTACAGGGATAGAGATCGATCGCGAGTCTTTCAAATATGGCTCTAAGTTTGTCCGTTTGGAAGTGGTTGATACTGCTGGTCAGGAACAGTTCTTTTCTTTGCAAGCTATGTATTTCCGTGGTGTCCATGGCATTTTCTTGGTCTGCGATGTAACTAATCGGGAATCATTTGACCACATTCCTCGATGGCTTAACTTAGCAAAGACTTATTGCACAGAAAGCAATGCATTGATTATCATAATTGGGAACAAGACAGATCAAGCTGGGGAACGGGTAGTTTCCTCTGAGGAAGGCCAAGAAATTGCCAAAAGTAATGGCCTAAGCTATATGGAAGCAAGTGCACTGGATGTGAACACTGTTGAAGAAATGTTCAAGACCATGATTAACCTCCTTACAAGATCAGTTGATCTTGGGTCAATAAAAATTGAACTAAGTGATGCAAGTGGAAAAGTAAACTTGAAACCAATGAACAAGAAGTCTAAATGTAAATGTAGTAGAAAGTGATTTCCTTGTGTGGGTAGAACAACTAGAAAAATTAGCAACTACCGGTAATTTTTATTCATGGCTGTTAGTTGTGCATGAAAAACCCGACTGTATAAATGGGACCCTCGCCACTGTCTGCTTAACTCATTCCACCCCTGGAAATTTTTGTTTTAAAACCCCATTTGAAGCTAGTCAAGCCATTTTTTGGTCACTTTCTGGCCAAAAAAAACTAAAGTGGCCCAAAATGTTGTTTACAAGTCTAACACTATGCTGGCTTTAGCCTGCACCAAAGACAAAACTAATAACTCTGGTTAAGTTTGTCTGCAAAACAGCACCGAAATCCTTGTCCTGGGACTCCGCCTGTGCACCCCCCTTAATACGCACCATGCTTGGCCTGTTAAAAAGCCATTGTTGGTTTGCCAAACAGGTTGAAAGGAAATTTGAAACGTTGAGGGCCGTTGAGGGCCCAGAACAAGGGTCTTGGTGCTTCTTTGCAGACCTTACTAACCGGGGTTTGATTACATCTGTGGTGCAGGCTATGCTGGTTTTTGTTTTTATTTCCCTGAGTTCAGGCATGCAGTGACGTGGCCCCCTCTTGCTTAATATGGAGCCTGCACAATACAGTCATGTTTGACCGTGCTTGAAATGCCCCTGGCCTAGAAAACAGCCCACATTTCACGACGCCACCACTGGTTTCCCCGTGAAATGACGTCTGAGATAGGAGTGCAGAATTTCCATACTGATGACATGTCACTACTCAGATCTGGGTAGTACTTCTGGTTGATTGAGGCAAATTTCCCATTTAGCACGACCAGTCAGAAGCACTATCCAGATCTGGCTAGTGGTGCGTCATCAGTATGGAATTTCTGCAATCATTTCTCAGACGTCATTTCGCGATAAACAAGTGGTGGTGCAGCGTGCAAAGAAAGTTGTGTCTGATAGCCCAGGGTTAGTGGATTTTGCTTTCAGGCTATTGATTTTTGTTCTTAACTTTTCCGACGGGCAGGTGCTACTTTTTGGGGAAATTTAAAGTACAGATGGATTGTAAATCAATCCTGCTAATCAAAAAGGGTTTTGGGGCTAGTTGAAATGACTTGTGGGCTAGTACATGCTAGCTATAGCTTGCCCGAAAGGCAGGCTGTAAAACTGACTTTCTTTGCACCCTGTGGCGTCCCAAAATGCCAGCTTTTTTCTCACGCTACTGGCCAGTTAGGTAGTAGAATTAATTTGCTTGGCACAAAACATGAGGCAAAAAGACTTTTTGAAGAGTGTTTTTAACAGAATTCTTGAAGATATTTGTTAGTTAGCTTCCTATGAAGATGTTCTTAGGGCATTGTCATGCTTTCCTTTCCCACAAGGGAGGATTGCGTGACGAGTCAACATAGATAGATAAATATATACCGGTAGATGATTTATTGAACTTGCTCAATTCAACATACATATGATACATATTAATTTACATAGACAATTAATACAATTTAAATAGCAAAGGCTAATCTGGTGAAGACACCAATAGAATACAATTATACGCACAGAATTCAGAATATATTATTTTGAAAGAAGGCATTTCTTCTTGAGCTAAGGGAGACAAATTAATTGATATACCAATTAAGCACAGAGTTCTTCAGAGCTTTACGAAACAGTCTAAGAGTATCTGAGCTAGTAATGCTAGGAGGCAAGAAATTTCAAAGACAAGAACCAGTGAATTTTACGAAGCAAGCCATATTGGGTAGTGTTAACTGAGGTTACGTAAAGATTTCCATAACATGATTGGCAAAAGAACTTCTGCATGGGAGTCAATGGCTTAGATATCACTATAGGAGTATTGCTATACACACCCTTTCAAGCCTGGGTGGCAAGGGTCAAAAGGGGTGGGGCAGCGAGAGAAAAGGGGGGGCATTTTTCTCTCCTCCCCTTTTTGCACCTACAGACTACATCTTTTCAGTGTGTATGTGTGTTAGAAAAAACTGTTAACAATAGTGGTTTACAACGAGGGTAGTGACATCAGAATTTGTTCTGTAATTATATGCCAGGCTGTTGTCTGATTTTGTAAAGACAACTATGGTTGGTGTCAGTACTGAATGAATGGAAATACAAGAAAATTGAAACAGAAGGAGCCATTGAAGTTTGGGTGTCCTCTTACAGCTTACCGTAAACTGCCGCTTATAAGCTCCCCCACTTACAAGCCAACCCAGTTATAGGCCCATCTACCTGTATATAAACCCCCCTCCAAGAAGTTTTAAAAACCAGTAAATGCAAAGCGTATTTTGGTTAGCATTGCTAAAGCTTATAAGCCCCTCCGTTTATAAACCGTCCTAAAACTCCTTACAAAAAAGGAATAACCCAGGGCCGGGTTGTTCAAAGCTGGGTTAAGATAACCCAGGGCAAGAGCCATAATAGTCCTATTATGGCTCTTGCGTTAGTGCGAAATTTGAATTCAGATATGAAAGCTTAAAAAGTAAATTCAGTTTAATTCTTTTTGTCAACAAGTTGATGACTGGATGCTCTTAAAAATAACAGGGAAAAATACAAGAGAAAATGCTTTTGAACAAAAGAAAAAGAAACCCGGGTTAAATTTAACCCTGGGTTAAACGCTAATATCGGCCTTCGAACAACAGAGGTTGTTAAAAGCTGGATTAAGAGAATCCAGGGTCAAGTTCAGATATAAAAGCTTAAAGAGCAAATTCAGTTTAACTTAGTATATTTTTGTCTGAAATTTGTTCATTGGATGCTCTACAAAGAATTGGAGAAAATTATCCGAGAAATTGCGTTTGAACAAGAGAAAAAGAATCCCGGATTGAAATTTAACCCCGGGCTAGCGCTAATCGGTCTTCGAACCACTAAACTGGGCCCAGAGCTTATAAGCGTCAGTTAACGGTTTTCTTTGACAAGTAATATCCATTTACTTGGGCATAAATACCAAATGCCCGCACTATCCAGGTAGTGCTGTAATTAGGCCATTGATAACCAGTCAGATTTTAGACTATTGTTCAAATAATGTATAGATAAATAAAAGTGTCGCAGATTTTAAAAGAATAAATTTATTTTCTATTATGAAAATAACGTCTGCAATTTTTCTGCCTCAGTTAGAAACAAAAAACTTTTAAGGAAGGCAAAGCCAGCGCATAATCTTTGTGCACCGTGCATAGGAAACCTAAAATGATAAATGTGAGGAAATAGAAACGCTATGTTATTTTATTATTTTTTTATTGCTTAATTTATCTAGCCGATTTGTTGAAAACCAACCTAACGAAATTTGCAGTCATTGGAGTGAAATGGCGTCAAAAGGCAGGTTTCTCGGGCCCGATAAGCTCGAAAATCACCACTAACGAAGGAAAAGGAAAGGAGAAAAAGAAAGAGCGAGGAGGAATCTAATCTAGTCGGATTTTTGAAAACGTTTCCGCCAAATGGACCTTTTGTGTCCAACATTTTTCTTTCTCCAAAGTAGCTATTATAAAAGCTAACAGAGCAACCATTGCTTTTTTCCTTTTCTCCTCCTGTCTTCCTCCTCGCTCTTTCTTTTTCTCTTTTCTTTTTCCTTCGTTACTGTGAATTTGGAGCTTGTCGGACTTAAAAAAACCCTACCTTTTGACGCCTTGTCATCCCAATGACGGCAAATTTCATTAGGTTGGTTTTTAAACTCTGAATCCGCGGCTAGATATATATATATATATATATATATATATATTTAATTCTTTACCTGGACGCATTCCCTCCTAGAAAATTGGAGACAACTGCTTGCGGGATAATGTTTTTGTCGTTCATAATAAAAGATTTGAAAATGTAAACAAAATCTATGAAATTCCTTTCTTTGTGTAAATCTCACACTAAAACAAATCAGAATATTTATTCTTTTCCCTGAGATTTCCTGATAGCTTAGTTGAATTCAGTTTTGAACTTGGAAAGTAATCTTAAGTGAGGGATTAGAAAAATGTTAAGGTAATCTTTTTTCCGGTCCGCAGAGGCGTCACTTAATTATCTTCTATCCTGTTCAGAGGAAAACCATTTTGAAAGCAATTTACACCTGCAGGAAAACCCATCGGCAATTTCCACCAATCAGCGAGAGGGTAAACAAATACTCTACCGGGTGGCGAATTCAATTGTCTTGCAAAACCGGCTTTTTCATTTTCATTCCGTTTGCAAACCACGAGTGTAAGCAGTCATTTGACAGCGGAAAGAGCGAAATCAGAACTGCTTGTTTTTCTTTTTTCCTCCCCATAACAGCTACCATAAACCAAAATGGCTAAAATGGAAAACATACATGATGCCGAACACAAGCACAAGAAGGTTAAGTTTGGTTTGCGTTCCGAAGACGTTCCCGCTCAATTCCGCGAAATGTTTATTTGCTCTGGTTATCGCAAACCTTACGGTTCCGCTTTGGACTGTGTCAAAAGTGCTTTTCAGCTGCGAAACGAAACCGTCAACGTTTGGACGCACTTTGTTCCGTTTCTGCTTTTTCTCGTACGCTTCGCGTCCTTATTTTGGAAGTACAGCATCACCGACACTTACGTCTACCCTTTGCTGTCGTTCGCTATTGGAATATGTGGATTTTTGTTGATGAGTTCTGGCGCTCATCTGTTCAATTCCATGTCTCCTAGAGTTCGCCACATTTGTTTCTTCTTCGATTATGCAGCGATAAGCGTGTACAGTGTTGGAGCAGGACAAGCATTTTATTTCTACAGTCGCTCGTTGGATAGCGATAAAATGCTCTTCAGTTCTTCGACCATTTTTCTCAGCGTTTCTTGTCTCATCTCTGTTTTGTCAACTGCCATTTGTTGCGCCTCTCGACACCGATGGTCAAAGATGAAGTACGTTATTCGAACTTTTTGCTTCGGGGTCGCATTTCTGTGCAATAGCGCTCCATATTTGCATCGCCTTCTGGTGGAACCGTCTGCTACACTCGAAACAGAGCACGAGCAACTGGCGTTTTCCTATTTCATGAGGCATTGCTACTTCTACCTTATTTCAGCTTTGGCAAACATGTCCAGGATGCCAGAGAGATTAATGCCAGGAGTTTTTGACATAATAGGACACAGCCATCATTTCCTACATGTTTTTACAGCCCTTGGTTCCGCCGACCAGTTTACAGCCATTCAGATTCAAATGGAGTCGAGACGCAACGATTTGGAGCGCTTTCCAGTAGCAACTTTTGCGAACAGCTTAGGTTTAATGGTAGTAATTTGTTTAATTAATTGTGGGATTGTGTTAAGGTTTGGCAGTAAGCTACGATCAGATAAGGAAGAAGAGCATAAGGAAATTTAATAGATTAAAATTAAACGCTAAATTTTTCTTTCTTGCATATCGAATAAAAGCGGATTTATTGACCAATGGTTTACAATAATTTTTGCAGGTGCGTAGAGTTATTAGATTACTCCGTATCACGGATATGCACTAAATTGCGCTTTAGTTATTTTTGTAACGCCAACCATTTTTATCATGGCTTGAGACGATTTCCCATCATAAAAATGTCGAAATTTTGTAAAAGTGGAAATATTTGCTATTTCTCTTTAGCTTAACCTGAAAGGAAAAACTACTTGCATAGTTTTATATAAAATTAAGATGTTTGAAATAACAGTAACTTATAAAAAATTCATGATTGCAAAAGATCCTTCTTGAAATTATGCAAATAATTTGGATTAATATTTCACCTGTTATTTTTGCTTGCTTCTTTGAAATAAAGAAAAAAAAGAAAGAATGTGAACGGTTGAATGACTTTTTTTGCTTAAAAACCTTGTCTTCTAAAATGTCCTATTCATGAAGAAATGAGAACCTTTATTTGTGTAAAGTTGTCAAACAATTTGACCCTGCCACGGGCAGTCCAACAAACAGGGACCGCTGGGCGGGGTTTAGAAATTGGGGGAGGGGGGTGAGGACTAAACCAGACCCGTAATGCTCTTTAATCTTCCAGGAACATTTGACATCTTGGTATCCAGAGATGGCTTCTTTCAACTGGAAAAGACAAAAACTAAGGCCAAATTGTTCCAAACTCAGTGACATTTAGGATGGAATGGACTACCTAATACTGGTACTTAATTTCGCGTTTTTCGCCATTGTAAAAAAATCGCGAAATTAAAGACCTGCGAATGAAAATCCTCGTGAAATTCAAACACTCGAAAGTTAATACTTGTAGAAAATTCTGTTCTAACAACAGCCACCTGAAGATCCATTCGAAGATTTGCAGTGGTCAGATGATGTTTAGAAATGTTGCGGCGAGCAACTCATTTGCTTGTTCTAGTTTACCTAACCAATTTTAAAAGTTCAGACATTTTGTGAAAATAAAAAAAAGTAAAAAATAAAAAGCGAACATTTATGCCCTTTTTTCATATTTCCCTATTGAAATCATGAAAATAAAACCTCGCGAAATACTATCTCGTCAAAATCGCGAAATTAAGTACCCATAAAGTATGTTCATGGTGGTAAAATAGCTTCCAACTTCTTCAACGAGTTGCTCTTTGTTCGACGTCGTTGCGGGTCGGACGCTTGTTTTTCTGACGGACCGGTTTTCTTCTGACGCTTGAAACAGTTTTCATTGGCCCGAGCCTACATGACCACAGCACGTTTCAGTTTTCTAAAAGACGTGTTGACTGTTTCGAACATTATCTCCATTTTTATCCTTGCTGAAGTTTGTCTCCGTCAGGTTATTCATTCACGTTTCCATCGGATGAGAATATATAGCGTCAAAAATGAGAGTCAAACAATCGATTAAAATGTGTGGACGTCTCAGGAATTAGACTTTCGTTTAATTGCATCCTCTAAAAATAACTTAACCCTTTGAGCCCTATGAGTGATCAGCATCAAATTTGTCCTTGCATCAATGTTTTGTTAAACAGAGTGGTCATGAGAATTACGGACATGATCACACAAGATAAATTAACTAATACTTAACATTTTATCAACTTCTCGCCACTACTTCTGTAGGACATGAATAGGGGCAACAAATGAGAATTCAAATTTTGATCTTAGTGTTTAAAGGGTCAAGAGAAATTCACATGTCCCAGTCAACGCCATAAGATTCCCTCTCTGTCTTATACCATTCTCTCTTGACAGCGTTGGTAGAAGAAAGAAGAATGGATGAAGAGCAGTAACAGAATTTTATATCGGAGCCTACAAAAAAACAACACAATTATTTGCAAACTGATGCCAAATCTACCGTATCTGATCTGATACGAATTAGAGAAGATCATGAAATATAAGCAAACTACAATCTGATACCGTATCTGATCTGATTTCCACTTTGCTAGTCTTCCTCTTTAGTAAGTCCTTTGCCAGGACCACAGTCTTGGACAGAATAATTAACAACAAGAGACTATAAAGGGGACAGAGAGGGCATCCCCCATATACACCCTATTCCATAGGTAATTCGTCTCGAGTTATTTTTAACACTACAGATCTCAAGGGGGATTAGACAACAGCCAATCACATAGCACGAATGTGTTCCGCGTGGATGACCCACGCTGAGAGCCACGCGTCCTTCACGAAATGACGCAGAACAAAATGGGGGAAGACGCGGAGAACGATTTTGCTATTCCTTTTGTCGACGAAAACGACTACAGAGAGATTTCTGCGAAAACTGTGTCAGCGAAACCGAAATTAAAAAAGAATGGCCCTTCCTCTCTTGTATAGAGCTAACAGTAGAGCAGGGAAATCCTTAACACACTGAATATTCTCTCAGGATCATTTATAATTATTTTACAGTTTGAAGAGAGTAATTTCTGGTTTGATGTTTATTTTTTTCATTCTTTATAGCGATTATTCCTACCCACTTACTTTGTCAATTGTAGGCGAACCCTCCTAAAGCTGAATTTCAAGGGACCATATTCAAGCTCAAAAAGAGAAATAAAATTTCGTCGTTGCTTATTTACGTCCTCCATAAAACGCGATATTAGGCATTTTCACGTCGTAGTCGTGCAAAAACGGGAAAGAAATGAACAAAAAAGTGTGTTGCACGTGCGAAGTTGTTGTTTTGCTAATTAAACCTATTGTTTTTGTGACGCTCTAGTTGTCGTCCGCGTCGTTGGATCTTAAACTCCCTAAATTGTACAAACGACCGGTTTCAATAGCCCGGCGAAATTTCTCATTTTATTAAAGCATTGAGGTTACGACAACTGCGAGTTAAACTGATTTCACGGGTTGTCAAAGAGTCCAGCGATTCCTTTTTCCCAGGTGAGCGCCGACTCATTTCGCTTCAATATTCAGGAAATGCTCTCGATCTTTTTACGCTTTCATTGCCTCTCGCCCGACATGTTTTGCACGGCGTTTGGTCATGCGAAACCTCCACGAAACATCCACGCCTCGCGCGAGGTAACTTTATCCCGATTCTAAAAATAACTCGAGACGAATTACCTATGGAATAGGGTGTATATGGGGGATGCCCTCTCTGTCCCCTTTATAGTCTCTTGTTAACAATTATTCCTCGAGCCCGAATGGGTTTGCCGTCTTCTTTGCTCTCCCGTCCTGTTGCCGTAAGTTCACTAAGTTAGATACATTATGCCGGCATAATTTTGGGCATAATGCCATGGTCGGAGCATCGAGCATAATGCTGGCATAATGGCCACTTTTTTCAGCACAAAGAGACTGATAATGAAAAAAATAATAATATTTCCGTGACTGTACTGAGAAATTTTTACTTCCAAGTGCTTTCAGTGAGAATTAACATCAGTTTAACATATTCAAAGGTTTGATTGCTACTTTCAATGTCTTTTCGCACCGGTGCATCATTTTGTTAGGCGGCTATCCATCATGGCTGCCAGTTCGAAATTTGTAACTGATGCAATACATGATACCTGCCAACTCTCACGCCTGCGGGTTGAAAACTTCGATCTCACGGCGGCTCACACTTGCGGGCCAATTTCTCACGCCTGATTGAAAAATATGAGTTGTTGCCGTCTTGCTTGACACAATTTCCAAAAATATGTTAACTCAGACCCATGTAAGGAACGAAAACCATGTGTAAAATGAATAAATGACAATACCTTCTTGATTTTGTGGATAAGCGTCTTCTCGATAACTTCGCCTTCGGCAGACTTCGGACGTCTTCGGAAGACTTCGGACTTCTTCGGAAGACTTCGGACTTCTTGGGAATCTTCGGAAATGATCGTGTCGTCTTCAAAAATCCCAGCACTCCCAGGATAAAAATCTCACGCTTATATCTCAGAAAAAGTTGGCAGGTATACAATAAAACGTTGTATCCTGAATTCATGTCTTCGAGGATGGAAAAGGGCATCAAATACAGTCAAGATCAGTCGAGCATAATGCTACTTTTCCAGCATAATAGGCATAAAGCTGTTGTTTTGAGGATGACGCTAAAAGGATAATGCTCAAATTTTCGAGCATAATAAGCGTATACCGTAAAATTCCGAAAATAAGCCCCTCCATGTTTAAGCCCCTCCAAAACGCGCCATTTTCCCATCCTTGATTTGGGTGGGGAGGGGGTGAGTTGATGTGACGTGACACTGGAAAACGTGACATCGAGGAGGCAAAATGGCGGCGGGCGAGTACCTCGTTTGCTTCTCAGAAAAATGTGAGAAAGAAGAAGTCAAACAATACTTTGTTGATTGTTTGAGTCGGGCTAAGTTTAGTGTAACCCGCGAAGAATTCGAGGGGAAAACATTATTGACTGTTGATGCACCATTTGAGATACTTGCAAATAAGGTGAGCTTCAAACCGCGCTGGAGACGAACTGAATGCATATGTTACGTTAATTTGGAACTTTAAAATCGTATTCTCCAGTTTCTCCTCTCGCAAGAATGAATATGGTTTGAATTTAAGCTTAAAGATATTTTGCTGTATCAACGAATTGTTTTGTTTCAGGCGGAAGATGTTGGCTTGAAGAAGACCACAAAGAATGAAAACAAGGCGAGTTGTTTATGAAATATACAAGCTTACCTTTTGAATTATTGATTTCTATGCACGTTTATCCTTCGTCTATTAGAAACTTGTATCCTTTTAATCACTAACTTCATTTCGGTAGCAATCATAAGCTTTGGTACTGGTATATAAACATTTCAAAATGAATATCCTCATCACTGCGAAACAAACTACCGTCCTCTTTTTATGTTTATCTTGAACATCTAGTTCAATTTTTAACAGGGGTTAAGGTTCTAGGCTTAATTGCAGAATACTCTGCCACGGTTTTACAGTTTAACCATTGAACTTTCAAGGGCACTATATATATGTTGTTGTCAATTTTTTATTTCAGTTAATTTTTATTTTTTCATTGTTTTTGGGTATGGTAACGTATGCTAATTAATTTAAAACAAAGGGAAAACAAATAAAAAAAAAGTAAATTATAGGATGAAAAATTAACTGCAACATATATATGGAAGGATCACAATACCAAAATAAACTTATACCCTATTTGAGGATGGTGTGCCTCAAAAACAATTCTCTAGCCCAGTTGGTGAAAAGGTGGATAACGCTGTCAAATGGCAGGCAGTATCTCTTCTCTGAGGTTCGACCAGCTTTATTTTCCATCTGTCTACCAGTTTTCTGGCTGTTACCCATCACAAACTTGAGGAAGCATTCAAACCTTGAGCATTCTGAGGTGACACTTTTTATTCTTGTCTTTTTTCTTTAAGGTTAAAGAATTTGTTACAGAAGAACTTGACAAGTTTGCTGGAAGTGACAATCAAGAAACTTTCTTTACCCCAGCAGAAAGGGTATACTTGCTTGAGATCTGTCTGGAATCTGTCCAGTATGACAAAGTAAGTTGTGTTGGCAGATTTTGCTTGTACCCATCAGACCTAGTGGCTGATGCCATTATCATACCTATTGTAGAATGTATGTTTTATGCTACAATTCAGTTCTCCTTAGTTGTTAAAATGTTAAGATAACATTTTTGAGTGATATGCAATGGTCCCATAGGGTAATTGGTTTGTTCAACAATTAATAGTAATAATAATAATAATACTAATATTTATCGCTTTTAATTTATTGCGTATTTTAAGATTAAAAGATATATTATCAAATGCGCACCCAATTCACAATCAAAAACCTAACACTGTACGTATTTTCATTTCTCTTACATAATATTTCTAGGGGTGGATCACAGATCATTTTTCATTGTTTTGTGAAAATGTCATGGAGAATCTGAATGGTCTGCCTTTTAACAATAAAAAGAAAACGTGGTACTTTCCTGGTGCAAATATTCTGATCTTGCTGAAGCCTTTAGCCCTTGTATTCTAACTTGTAAACTATCATGTTTTTACTTAGACCACATCTGTCTTCTGAATTTGATTTGAGTAGAACAAAGTGGCTGTGGGTGATTTTGGAGTAAATTATGTTTGCTGTAATAGTTAATGCAAACATTTACCCCAAAATGTCCCACGGTTTGTTGTACCCAGAGTTCAGAAAACAGATGCAGATCTCAGTAAAAACTTCATAGTTTTTTTAATTTCAGCTCTCTTATTTCCTCCTTCCTATCACTTGTGACCAGGTTGGTGGTGTTCATACAACAATTTTATTATTTCAGGAACATCTGGCTTCTTATGGTATCAAGTTTAGGGAGAAGGACTCATTCATTACAGACTGTCTGCATTCTAAACCTCCAATCTTAGAGTCAGCATTTCCTCTTCATCACCCTCATGAACAGGAAAAAATTTGGAAAAAAAAAATGAAGCAAAATGTGATTGTATGTCCTTTGCAGGAGATAAGAGATTACTATGGTAACTTCACAATATTATTACTGTGATCCTTAGTATTATTCATGTCATTATACTGCAGGGTGCAAAGAAAATCATTTTTACAGCTTGCCATTCGGGCAAGCTGAAGTTAGAATTTACTAGCCCAGACATCATTTCAACTAGCCCCAAAGGCCTTTTGATGAGCAGAATTGATTTCACAGTTCTTCCTTTATTCAAATTGCTCAAAAAACATCGCTTGCCCGTTGGGCAAGTTAAAAACAGAATTCACTAGCCCGATAGCAAAATCCACTAGCCCTGGGCTATCGGACACTTTACTTTCTTTGCACGCTCTACTGTCGATTCAAGTGGTTACATAATTATGATGGTACAAGTGAGTGTTCAATTAGTCCTGAATTAGGACTGTTGGTTATTATGGTAACTGAATTTTGGCAACTTGCACAGATGCCATCATCAGAGACACAAAGAGCTGTTTATCATCATTTGATGATTAAATTTGCTATATTGACCTGATTAGTACAAATAATTTAGTCAAGTCTACATTATTTTTAAAATGCATTGGTAGTCTCTCAGTTAAGCAGTAATGTTAATGCCTGTCAAGAAGAAAAATAGGACAAGAAAATATAGAAGTGGGGAGAAAGGAAAAGTGAAATGTTAAAGTTGAAAGTGACAGTGTCTCTTTTGTTTTTTCCCAGAACTTTAACTCAACATATTGTCCTCTGCAACCATGCCTAAACTTCAGAAACTGTAAATTGTAATATCAAGAACAAAAACCTTCAAAGTGGACAAAAGTCCTTGGGACAGTTATGCAATATTCATAACTGCCTATAATTTTAGATTTCCTTCTTAACGCCTTGCTATTTTCCTCGCAAATGCCTTGCAGATCCCCCTCTCCTACCCTATACAATTTTGAAATTTAAAACCAACCTTGTATGGGGTGGGAGAAGGGAATCCAAGACATGTGTAGTATAAAAAAGCTTTTGTTCATGACTTTTAAGGCATACTGCTGTGACAACATGTTGGGGGTTTTGGTTCTTTTTGGCTTGATATTGACGAAAAAATAGCCTGGATTCCAGGTAAATGGGTGCATAAAAAATTGGGGTAGATACCTCCTCTTAGCCTGAGAAAGCTGACATTTTTCAACATCATTACTGATTTCCCTGCAAGATGGTGTCTGAGAAACAACTGCAAAAAATTCCTTACTGATGAAATGTTAACTCCCAAATCTCAGGGTAGTGATTTTAATTGGCTGATCAAGCAAGTTTGCCTTATGGCATGACCAGTCAGAAGCATCTATTTAAATTTCATTTATTCCAAAGTTGACAGCAATTACAATAATTACCACATACACACACGGACTACACACCTAAAAACACATGCATTATACTATACAATCACTACCAATCAGAAGCTAGCATGCAACAAGTCATTAGGATAGAATTTTCTGTGCTTGTTCGTCAGACTTTATTTCATTGGGAAACAAGTGGTGGCGTAACAAAATGTTGTCTGTTTTCTCAGGCTAACCTCCTCTTGGATTTGGCCATTGTATTGAGCTATTTTTTTTGTTGTAGGTGAAAGTGTTGCCTTCTATTTTGGATGGATGACATGTTTTACCTGGACTTTAGTACCAATAGCATTTGTAGGGATTCTGTTATACTTCTTTAAGCCTCGTGGTGTGACTGTGGATGACAACCCTCTGTTACCATTATATGAAATACTGATGGCTTTCTGGGCAATAAGTTTTCTTGCCGTGAGTAAACTGTTTACTTGAAAAAAATAGAGACAAAGCTCTTATTTAAACTAGATTGGATATTTGAAATTTTTTTACACATTGTATAAGATAGTGACAGGCCTACATTTCATCCTAGATACATGTACATTGTACATACATGTGGGCCAAGAAATTTCTTTATAAATTATGAATATTGTAGCAGGGCTGGCTCACCAGGATTATTAAGGTCCAAGTCAGAGTTCCGATAGCAAAAGAAAAAGGTGTTTTTGTGAGTTGACCTGACTGCCACTCAACCTCGCTTAGAGAATTTCAGATCATCGTAATTGTGTAGTAATGGCAAAGAAATTTACCAAAGGTGTGATACACGTGCAAAGTGTCATTTTGTATGTCAAATGTGTTGCTTTTTTGGCATTCCGGTTGCTATCATCATGATGATAATCCTCCCAAAAAACACTCAAACAAATCTTGAGCACACATATTGCAGTTTTATTCATGGTTGTCTTACACCAATACCCCCTGTTCAAAATATGTATGTGTTCAAATAACCTTTAGAAACCTAAGTTTGGTGAATAATGCTATAGTTTGCACATCTCTGTCAATTAATCCACGGTTCAAGCCACTATTAATAATAATTATTCAGTTGAAGTTATTATTTTTCCTGTGTCCTTTCAGATCTGGAAGAGAAAAGAATCAGAATACTCCTTCTTGTGGTGCACACATGGCCTTGAAAAATCAGAGCTACTACGTCCAGAATTTACTGGTAAAACGCAGCCAAGCCCCATCACTGGCCAACCTGAAAAGTACTTTCCCAGGTGGAAAAGATGGCTGCGTTATGGCTTAAGTTTTGTTCTTACGTTGCCAGTTCTTGCCTTGGCCGTTGGTGCAATGCTGTGTTCACTTAATTTTAATGGTTACATCAAGGACAAAGAAAGCCCTGTTTACATTGCTGCTTTTGCTCACTTTGCAGAACCTGTAAGTCAGCTTAAATTTAGTTTTCTTTCCATTTCTTTAGATGTTGTTGAATCCTGTTTTTTTGACTGAAAGAAAATTTTTTTGATCCTTCATGAAATTCTCCCCTTGTTCCACAAGCCATAAAAAAAAACCTGATTGGGAGAGAAATGAAAACCTGAATTTAATTTAATTGACCTGTAACATATATACCTATTTATTTTGATGTCACGTGATTGTTTTTTATCAAACAAAAATAATGAGGAACAAATATGACAGATAAATTAACCCATTCGCTCCTGGAGATTTTGCCGAAAAACGCGTTTTGAAGCTAGTCGAGTGGTTTTCTGGTCACTGTCGTGCTATAAAGAGCTAAAACTTACCACAAACCGGTTTACAGGTCGTACACTTGGCGGCCTTCTGATCCAGATGCAAAATATCAGCTTGCGAAGTTGGGGCATGCGCAGAAAGCAAAATTTCGAGATAGTTTTTGGGTTTAAAAGTGACACAGCAGTCTTGACTTTTACTTTTCGCTTTCTCTCCTCCCTTCTTTTTTCGCTTTTCTTGCCTCATTTTTTTTTCTCTTGCTAGGCATTTAGTAGGCTTCATTTTGGTGGGAAGAGTTTTTAGGAAAGCTTTTAGGATCTTAGGATTAGGTGAAAGGAAAGGTAGGTGGGTAATGGAACAAGATTTTCATGGAGATTTTCAGGTCCTTGTCACGTGGTTGTTTGCTTCTTTCTCCGGTGTCCTTGACTGAATTGTGCTCATTCTGGTATGGTTTGAAAGATCTCTTCACTCTGCACAAGTTAGCGAAGAAAGTTGTCCTTGACCGTTAAAACTGATGACGTCACAAAGGGTAGAAAGGACCTGGATTCGCACGGGCGGTTCAGGGGCGAATGGGTTAAAAAAAATATTTCCTTTGGGTTCAGTGTAGCTGGCCGGCACTTCCATGATGACTAGTCAATACTTTTGCCTGTTGACGAGCTTCTGGATAACCAGCTATGTGTTTGTTTATTTTAATTACCGGATTTTATATGAAAAATCAACTACTCATTTTAAAGGGACTGTATCACGGCAGTCAAGTTCATTTTGTTTAATTTGCCAATTACTTGCCCTCAATCGCTATGGAACTTAAAGTAAGCAAAGAATTTTCAGGTAAATGACAAAATCAGGGATCCGAGACAAACAAATATGTCTCCTGAGCATTATTCTTGAAGTTGCAAGCAGCAGGGATCAACTTTGAAAACCTGTTAGGCTGAACAGTTTCAAAAACCCTAATTTCAATCCGTTTCAATCTTCTTCAGTTATGCCCATCCGTGGCATCTGTTGTTTCTGTTCTGTTATTTTAACCTTCCTTTAACGTTTTAAGCTGTTATTTTTACGTTTCTCTTAATTAAATGGGCATTTTGTAATTACCTAATTTGGCTGATTTCGTGACACAGCTCCTTTAATTGTTTTCAGTTTCACCTATTTGAGCAATTTTTCATGTTTAAAAATAATGGTAGAAATACAGAGATCTCAGATAAAATGTAATCACCTGATTCTTTTCTTGTTTTCAGGGTCACATTTTTGCAGCTGATAATGAGTATTATGGCTATTTAATTCCTACCATTGGTCATTCAGTTGTAATCAATATTTTGAACAAACTTTACCGCTCTGTTGCACACTTTTGTACTGACCTGGAAAATCACAGGTATGCAGATGACCATTGAATACATGTAGTAGTTGTGCATGAAGGTTTTTGGCTTCCGGATCCATACCAGTAAATGATGATTTAAATTACAATGTACTATACAGAGATAAAGGGAAACTGTTCTCTTTTTTTGTGGTCTTAATTTTCAAGATGGAATTCTCATTTGACCTTGAGAGGTTGTCAAAACATTTAGAAAAGCTTCACTTTGTTTGCACTTAGTAAATTTCTTTTTCAACTTGTTTAGCAGCTCTTGATCTTCCATTTGCAAGTGATTAAAATATCTTATTCAGTACCTTTTATTTATAGTGGTGCTCAATGCTCATGGTGTCTTCTTGTTTTCTGAAACATTAAGCTTTCTTTGATGCTCGTTATGTGTAGTACTTTTCTGTGTGCAAATATGTAGCTATTTTGTAAAATACTGTCACATGTATACTAAGGTTTTCTATTCACTTACTAAAGGCTTAATTTTTAATGTCTTTGCAGGGGTGGTTCTGATTTTACCGCACTCATTTCATCCATGGTTTACTAATTTCCCACTGTTTTGTTGTATGATAATGTATGGTCTGAGTTTACAACATGATCTAAGGATAAAATGAGCATTTCATAGCATCAACCTTTTTTGAAAATAACTTGGCCTAATTTATACTGTTTGTCCTTTCATTTTCTCCTTTTAATCAGGACAGAGAGAGACTGGGACAACTCACTCATCATAAAGCGTGTACTTTTTGAAGTTTTTGACTGCTTCCTTCCCTTGTTCTACATTGCATTTTATCAACTGAATGTTGTTGCTCTGCGGAGGGAATTGGTCGGATTATTCTGGGGTATGTGTAGTTATTTGTTCTTTGATGTAAATGACATTTGATAGAAATGAGCTGAACAGTTAGACAGTTTTTGACTTGATATGAAGTAAACTGCAAATCAGTAACGGGTCTTGACAAACTGCAAGCCAGCGAGCCATGCAAGTCACGCAAGGCATTGGTAAAAAAATAAGGAAACACAGGTAAAAACTGCAAATTTACAGATGAGGAGTTGAGCACTCATTATCCTGATTAGGGTTAAGCACTCATTGTACTGATTAGGGTTAAGCACTCATTGTACTGATTATAGGGTTAAGCACTCATTTTAGGGCTAGGGTTAAGCGCTGTTTAGGGTTAAACACTTATTTACAACGGTTAGCATTCAGTTAATGTTTTCGGTAAATTACTGTTTTTGATTTTTATGGTGTTTTTTTCAATGATTCTTCAATGGACTACATGGCTCGCATGACTCGCTGGCTCGCATTTTATACACACCCATCGTTGACCAACCCTCCACTTCTTGACTTGTTCTTTCTAGAGTACATTTACATGTAACATGTAACAGACACATAGACTGTACAGAAGTACCTATAACATTTTTGTTTAACATCCAACTATCTGCCAACCCCAAGAGGGGCAGGGCGGGTTGGAGTACGATTTACTCATCTGAATGTCTGAAGTTTTGTAATTTCCCATTCACACCAAAGCTTAAACATATTTAAAAGCTGTTTAGTAGAACATGGTCCAAAATAATTATTGTTTTCATCATAAAAGCTGCTTACTGACTTTTGGCTTTTTGCAGATTATGTGTAAATTACAGAGCATGTTAAAGTGTATTGCATAATGGGTAAAGGTCTGATTTTGAGTTTCTAGAGTATTTTTTTTTTAACTGGTTTAATTAAACATGCATAGTTGGTGTGAATGCAGCATAAGCCAGCCTGGCTAATTTAATAGAGGACTTATTGTGTTCACATGTAATTCTTTTAAGGTGATGAAATCCGACGACTAATAACAGAATCACTTGTCCCGTATGTAACTGAAAAGGGTCATGTGTGGAAGATACAGAGAGAGTATGCCAAAAGAAAGAAAGACTCAGATAAAAAACCATTCATTCCCTCTCAGGTCAAGAACAAGCTTTTTATAAACTTACAGGATAAAAATCAAAATTATTATTTCATTCACATTATTAAATCAGGAAAAAGCTAAAGCACCTCTCTGTATTTGAACTGCTACACTGAAGGAGTCATCTACATTCTCCTTGGTTGGATTAATCCATATTTTAGGCTTCATATTTATACAAAAAACATGTTAATACAAACAACAACCACAGAAGATTTCTTTCGTTTGGTTATTTTTTCATTTCTTTTTGCAGATGAACTGTTTAGTTTCTTTGATTGCATGGTCAAAATCTCTGTGTTGAACCAATTGTTGAACCAATTAGTTACTGAACCATTAGTTACATGCAATTCTGTTAAGTTTGCAATAATTATTTTAATCTTTAATTCTGACTTTGTTATTTTTTATCAACAATAATATTAACAGGCTCAACAAGACATTGTTTTAGAAGAATATGAACAGTTTGATGATTATCTGGAAATGGTTGTACAGTTCGGGGTAAGTGTCTAATTTGTTAGTGGTCCTTCGTAAAAAATATTATTGTGCTTTTTTGAAGTGTATTGATTTCCAATTTTTTTCTTTGTTTTTTGTTTAGTATGTGACATTGTTTGCCTCTGCCTTCCCACTTGCTGCTGCTGTCAGTATTTTGTTCTTGTTCATTGAGGGAAGAGCTGACTTGTTTAAACTACTGTACATGTATCAGCGCCCAAAAGTGAGGAGGTATATCATTACTTTATGTTAGAATTATGATCAAAGCATATTTGGTATGATGGAAAAAGACAGGAAACAGTGAAACCATATTAAATCTGAAAACTCTGTTTTGTAGAGCTTTGCCTTTTAACCTTGAAGGAGAATCTGTAAATTAGGGCATGTTCACTCAGTAATCTCATTCACTGAAAAATTATCATCATAGAAGAATAAATGTTTGTGGGTCATGAGCATTTATTTGAACGGTACCCTATAGTTCAAAATTTTCTAGGCTTGATGAATTGTTATTTTAACTTACACTACAGGGTGGCCAATATTGGTGTGTGGTTCAACGTTTTATACTGTATGATGGTACTATCCATGCTCACAAACAGTTTAATTGTTGGATTTTCATCTGAGCAACTTGCTGTTTGGTGTCCGTGGATGTATGAGACAATTGACAATGACCAATTCATTATTAATGGCTATGGAAGGTATGCTGTTGTTGGAACTATAAAAAATGTACTTTGTGAATATTATGTTGTTGGTGAAAAGAAAGAATGTATCGAAATCAGATTCTTAACTTTGAAGTATTCTGTGGATTCTTTCTCATGGGTAAAATAAAAGAAAGATAAAAATTCAAAAAAGCAATTCTGAAATCTAGAGATTCAAAAACTAGCTTATTTTTGGAATTTCATGTGTTGTTTGTCTGTTCAGATATAAGGGGTAACTTCAGACAGTCAGTCAATCATACAAGTCACTGACATAGGCTGTATGCAGAATACAATAATTGGATTAATATATGTTATTAATCTATAAATGTATCTTTCTTGATGCACCTTTTTTCTCTGTAGGTATGTTGTGGCCATTGTGTTTTGTATTGAGCATTTCCTGATCCTTTGCGCTGTAATTTCAAGGTGCCTGGTTTCAGAAAAACCCAAGTGGGTGCGAATAGCAATTGCTAAAGAGGAGTATGAGAAGGCACAGGAAGCCAAGGAGAGAAAAGAGAAACATGAGTGAATTAGTCAGCTTTTACATCACTTAACTTCTCTGTTATAATGTTGGTGGAAATGGTTTGCAATATTTAATATGAAATTCGCTTACATTCTTATAAAATTGAATTGACTAGTACAGAAAGCCATCACATAAATTTGTACTTTCAAATAACTTATTTCTTGGAAATGACATTGGTTAATAACAAATAATTATTTATAACTCAAAACTTTTTTAGACCACCATTTAAGTCAAGGATATAGGGTTACATTGCAATTTTTGGTACAGTGTTACAAGGTTTTCTAGGCTGTACATGTCAAGTTTACACTGAGGAAGTAAATAAATTATTATTCATGCTTTTGTGGCGTTGCCTTATTGTTTTTGTGAGTTGAATATATTTCAACAATCTGGATCACTCTTTCAACTCCGTAACATTAACTTATCAGTCATTCTCACATTGATTCAGCATCATCATTAATACTTTGCATCCTGTCTGCTAATGACGCTAATGACATTGTAAAGCGAGTAGTACGAAAATTGCTTTGTGAAAGTACACTAGTTGCCCTCTGGTCTATCTATAGCCACAGGAGTCTATTTAAATTAGTGCGTGCACACTAATTCAGTTTATACGGGGGTCTAAACAAAAATGATATTTATCCTTTAACCAGGTTAACGAACTTATCCATTCTGATTCACCAGACTGCTTGTAACCGTTCACGTCTGGACGGACGCCGTATGTGTTTTCAGTTTAAATGGACTCGTGTGGTAATAGTCAAAGGCCAGGCGACTATTCATCATGCAAATATTTCATCTCCTGAAAACAAGTCTATTTCTGGTACTGTGCTAGCCTGGCTTGGTGAGCTATCCATTCTTCTCTCTTTTCTTTTAGATGGTCCAACTTCTTCCTTTTTCGTCAAAGGTGAAAAATTCGGCACAACTTGCTCTAAGGGGAAAAATATGTTGCGCTGTTAGCTTTACGTTACGTGTTATCCTGTTAGCAATACACTGTATGCTATAGACTACGAAATACCTATTAGTCACTTTTTACTACCGGGCAGTTTTCTTTTGGCACTGGTTTTCTTTTTACTCTGATCGGTAAACCACTAGAGAATTAAAGGAACAAATGTTGCTTATACATGGTAATGAGATGGAGGAAAACACGGATCAAACACCAAATCTGAAATCCCTTATAAATTTTTTCTTTAATGCATGTCCGTTGTAAAACCTTCACGTACCTTTCTGTAGAAGAGAAGAAACGTTGTCCACGCTCGAAATTCCGTGTTGACGCAGGGGTGTTGATGGCGCAGAAATAGATGGGACAACAGGGGTAGGCGAGTGCAAATGTTGGTCAGTTAACAAGAATGGCGACCGTAGTATCGCATTTCGTCCTGCAATGAAGACAAGACTTGAGATTAGGGGTACAAAGGTGCAAAAGAACGATTTAGTGTGTTTTCAGTTTCACCTTGATAACTGCTTGCTATTGGAGATTGCACTTCCAGAATAGGTTCCTTTTTGGAGACGTAAAAAAGCTTATAATTAGGATGTAATCATGTAATTGCATGTATAAACAAACAGCATGTCCTATAGTGTGTCAACAAATGAATTTTTTAAAAATTAAATGAATTATAGCCATATGATTTATTTAAGTCAATCAAAATTAAATGTTAGTAAGGCTGCCAATTCAAGTCTGAACAAAATTCTAATATTGCAAAAACGAGCTCTACGGTTAATGTACTTTTCTTTCGGCTATCCTAATGCACGATATCTCTAATAACCGGGCTCCTAAAATTTCTGAATTGTTCGTCCGTTATAACATGGTCCACTCTCATTACACCAGATTTTCTGCCGCAGGTAATTCTTATGTCCAGAGATCTAGACTCAGTCAGGTTTCATTATCTTTTTCTAGAAGTGGTGTAAGAATTTGGAAAAAAATTCCTCTTACGTTACGTGAACAGCGCGAAGACCCTTTCAATAAGCGTAAATTACATAAATTACCGATCAAGGTTTCGGAGACCAAGAAGGTGTATGTTGATATGAGTACCATTACCAGTTCCTACCTGAACTCCTTATTCAGTTAAAGTGTTTTTCCTTCCCTATAACTATACCTGCTACCTTTTATTTATTCATTTATTTCATTTTATTTTTGCTTTCTCTTTACTTACGTTCTTTTGCCGACTTTACAGAAAACAATTATTGTATTGTTGCCCACTTTAGAATAGCTCCGCTAATTGTGGGTAACATAGACCTAACTCATTTGACAATTGAATCAACTGTTGTTGTTGTCTTGTTGTTGCTTAATGTTAACTTGCAATGTTTATTTTTATTTTTAGCCTTTTGAATTACTAAAGTAGTTTACAACATACCATAAGTATATTAGACCATATTAAACATGATACATCAAACGTTTCCGTTGACTTTCTTTATAGTATATCCAAAGCAGTCTTTTTCCTACCATTTCGAAGTAAAACACCTCCTGTATATCTGTTTTCCGTGAGGGTATCAATGTCGGGAACAAATGGCGCAGGTGATTGAGTAACCTGTGTTCTCCGTGGCAGTAGAAACGGCGAGTTTGGAACGTGTTGGTACAGGAATGGAGAATGTGCGAAGCTTATTGGAGCAGTCATTGTAGCTTCTGTTCATAAAGTTGTAAGGAACAAATAAAGTTGGTTATAAGTAATAGGGAAGACCGAAAGAAGAGATTGGTCCTATAAATACTCACTGCATGATCTCTTGCATTTAATTTCATATTTTATCAGCTTCTGTTGCAGGTCACAAGGCTGTGTGTTAATTTTCAAAATCTGTGTTAGTTGTTCACAGAATTTTTCAGTGTAATCATGTACCTGACTTTTGACTGACTTAGTCGACTTAGACAAGAACTGAGATTTCTCCTACCATTAGTACAAGAGTTTTCCTCCGAACTTTCCTTACTCAGTCGTGGCCTGACTGTTATCCGAAATCATTTTAGCGACCACCCTTAATTCTCTCGACCAGAAATCCACTTGCCCTCGAATTTATTTTCTACATCGAGTAAGAATTGTCGCCAAAGGGTTTAAGTTGACCTTATTTATCTGTCCGATGTCGGCTGGACCTACGATTGACTTGAAAACAGCGAAGTCCTTCAAATTCAAAATGCAACTTGGATTTCGGCGAAAACATCGTTCAACAGTTCCTTTTAAAATGTTTAAGACCGACGTGGTTTTAGAGGTTCTCTAAGGTGCAAATGAAATTTACCTCTCTGCTAACAGCTGAACTTTAAGGAACCCTTGCAAAGTTGTAGGTTAAACTTAGATAACTAGCTTAAAAACGTTTCCAAACTTCTTGCTGTCAAATTCCTCTTCTCTTTTCTCTGGAAAGTTCCCGCTCATATTTCCCGCCAGTTGGAATAGGTAAAGTCGGAAATATTATCGGAGAACATTAGCCAATGATAGTTAGTAACCTCACCCGGAACTATTGTCGGTCTTACTCGGGAAGATTCGGAACTCCCTGCCAGTGGGTCAAAATGGCGGATCGACGAACAAAAGTGCTAAAAATGGCGTGTGTGTAGTAAGGGTTTTTCGTTGCTGGTGGAGGATTTAAAAGTATTATCTTTTGGCCAATGAAGAGCTAAGGACAAGGAGAGTTCTTGCAACGGAAAATAATCACGAAAAATGACGTGGGGTTTGCTTTAGCGAGTGGTGGTAGTCCGTGTCTCTGTCACATCTCACATGATCTCAGTAAAATGTTTGGAAGAAAAAAGAACGCATTTGCGACATACTCGAGAAGTAAGCCAGTTCAAATTGCTACGAAGGACCACTTCCCCACTCCAGAAACGCCGGATGACTTGTGGATACCTTCTTCAAAAGACAAGCCGAACTCAAAACAAGCAGCTTTTCCCCCAGTGAAAGCTAAAGGCAAGTAAATATATTTTGAATTCAAAGAAGGGATTTTCCTTTGAACCTTAAATTTGCGAGAAAATGTATGGCTGTTTTTTTTTATGTCTTTTAATTAGTTCATGGCAAAGGCACTGATGAACCGTGTGGAAATTAATAACATTAATGGCCCAGAGTCATTAGACTTGACCTAGATTCCAAAAATAATCAAGTATAAAACTGGGCAGTACCGCTGTAGGACAAAAAATTGTGCAGAAAAACACAAGTTTTTTGGCACCAATCAGAAGCCAGAACGGCGGCGACCGTTTGGAACTGGTCTGGTAAGACATTGTCCCCAGGGGCTCTTCCCGCCTCTCTTTACTTTTCTTTTGTGCCATATTTTCCCACCCGTTTAGACTTTCCCTCGCCCCCACTATCTCCCCCTGGGTCTCCGAGGATGGTAATTGGTGTGTACTCCAGTCAGAAAAATAAGAGCAAACATGGCATGGTTAATATTTATTGTTGTACCAATTTCACAGCTTCAAATAACTATATCCACAAAGTGATAGCTGTTACTTGTATTGTCAGAATTAATGCAGCAGTCATTAGTTCCAGCAGTTCTAGTAATCCCATTAGCCCGAGTGATTTGCTTGTTCAAAATGGGCGATTCCAGAAAATATCCATACCATACCACGGACGGCTTCCATATTTTCATCCCCCATTACCTTCAGAACTCCCAAGATGTGTTATCCCCCATGCCCTTGGAATGCTATAATTGTTAAACCCCCTACTGTTTGGATTTTCCATATTTTTGTCAAATTTTCAGACCTACTGGCAGGATTCGAAGATATACATTGCCCAATTTGGCTTATTTTACGTCAAAATATTTCAAATGACTCTACTTAGAACAGCGATGTATAAGCGCTATATAAATTCCATTGTTATTATTACCTCTGTACTTCAGTCTAGGTGGCCAGCACAAAGGAAGTCATACATGTATATGAATCCAGAAATTTGGGAATGAAAATTCAAAAATAATTAAAGTTTTTTCCTTACCGCTGTGCAACAAATGCAACCTACATTAATTTTACTTTGCCCCAGACTGCTACATACACAACCAATAAGAATACCTTGTGATGAATGTGTGTACCCTCAGAAGATATTATTATGATCAAGTGTATTTTCATTTGTGCCATCTTGATTTGAGTCTTTGGGGTCAGCAGTCACACCCAATCCCATGAGGTTCGAAAAGTAAAATGGTGTTGTCCGTCAAAAGACCACGTTTTGCACTGAATGGACAAAATAATTTATGAGACTGTTTTCGTGAGAGAAAAATGGATGTCTTGTGGCATTAAGGCCTCTGGAGCTTGATCTACAACCCATGTTTTGTTGGTTTTCCTCGACAGCAATGGATGCTTGTCATTTATCCTGCTTCCGCGGTCATCAGCTGTGTCATCAGTTTGTGCTTTATTTGTGAACTGATTAAGTCCTTAAAATAAGCATTTTCAAGGAATAAAATCTTGTCTCAGTGTCCCCTGTGAAAGTTCCAGATCTAAAACCCCTCCATACCTTCTGATTCCCTGCTACAGAGGTCTCTGCTAGCAGGGAAACCTTCTGAATTCCAGTGGTACATATGTAAGTATCCCCCATGCCTTCAGATTTTCAGTTCAAAGACCCCCCCACTTGCCCTCAGAATTCCAAAAAGCCGTTCATGGTATAGTCTGGATATTTTTTGGAATCGCCCAATGGTAGGGTTTCCTACTTAGGAGTTTACTTGTTTGAAGATTGCTAAGCAGTAAATCATTATCCTTGTGTTTTCAATCCTGTAGGGTTAGGGTTAGTTGGAAGAGAAGTGTGGCTTCTACTTTTTTAAAAAAAATATGTCAACCATTTTTAATCAGAATGATGTTTTACTTTTAACATAATAACAAACAGGATTGAAAACATGGATGACTCCATTTGCAGGGCGTGGTTCCAGCCTAGCTCTTAGGAACATCAGTAACATCCCACTGGAAAAGACATTGAGCAGAACTCCATGCATGCCAAGCCAAAACTCATACAAGACAAGTAAGAAGCGATGTTGTCATTGCAAGTTAAGGCATCTTTTTTACCTTTTTTATAAATAGATGCTGAGTAAGTACAGGCTATCCACTCTACTCCATTTCTTCAGCTGGGGCAAACCCTTTCTAAGGTCTTGAAGTTAGGTTGATATTAAGAGACATGACAATACTCTAGTTGTTTATTCTAATAATAACCAAATCCTTCCAGCTCTGATCCACATATACTGGTAATTTGGTTTTGTCTCACTTCAGGGACACAGTGACTTGTATCTCAAATTTGAAAGAAGTTGAAGTGATCCCCCGTTTGCAGAAGTTTCATTGTGCCAAATAGATTTGCTGCTGTTTCATATTTCAGATAGAAAGTTGATGTCAAGTAGTGCTTTGCTAGGAAAAGTTAGCTCCAATGATGATAAAGACTGCAAAACATACAGAAAAGAATTACAGAGGTATCTAGCTTTTTGGCAATGGTACTACGGTGTGCTTTTACACTGAGGTGCAAACTTTACAACATAATTCTATAGTCTTTTTGCACCCAAGCGCACAAATGGGTTGCTAGGTAACCCTTCAGCACACAGGCATCCCATTCATTTGTGCAAGAAGTTATTATTATCCAGCTACCGAAGTGTGCTCCAGTTGTCTGGGTGCCTTGTGCTTTATTTTTTAGCCTTACCTTTTGCAACTGAATACTACTTGTTGTTTTTTTTGGTTAATAACTGTACAAGTGAAAATTAGATTTAACATACCAACCTGATGTGAACTGTAAGTAATAAGGTCTACAGCTCACATGTATGAAACTCGGTGATGACAGTCTGGTAGCAATGGAGTGGTAATAAAGTGATTATGATTTTTGCTTTTTGTTTGTTACATCTTCTCTAGGGCTAAACTTCATTCCAAGAAGGCACCACTTATGAAATCAAAACCCCTCACCTCAACAACTACGTATTCATTCAAATCAATGTCTTCCTGTTCCATGTGTGGAAGTGTAGTGTACAGTAATGAACGTTCTTTGCCCACTGTCAAATCCATGTCGCTATGCAAGTCCTGCCTTGATGATGTCAGTTCAGATGACTTCTCTTTTGGTGATGCCCCAACTAGTGCCTCACAAGTTTTACAGCCACACAATTCAACACTTTTGGAGGAGGACTTAACAATTCAGCTGAGAGACATAATCCCTCAGGATTTATCAGCAATAATGGGTGAGTAGAATTTGCGTTATGATGTTTCATTTGTGCAGCAAATTAAAGCTCAAGGAGCAAAGGAAAATTTTATACTCTAGTACGGTAATAACAAGCCTTTGTATACATAGTAGTAATGAGTAATATTCATGTGCAACTTTGGGGTAAAAAATAATTCTATTTTGACATGACTGTATTCTTAGAGGAGCCAGTAGATGAAAAAGAACAGGCTGAAGCAGCCCAAAAGAAAACAGAGGATGCACTGGGCTCATATGATCTGTTTGACAAAGAGGTGAACTTAAAGTATATTTTTGCAAAGAACCCTTTTGATCCACAACACCCCTTAAAAGGAAGCATAGCTGCATTTGCTCAAAAGGTGGATAGCTCTATCTGTGGGATAAACCTCTATCCACTGGATAGTGCAATTTGTTTCCCTAATACTTATCCACTGGATGGTGATTTATCTGGTGGATAACACTATCCATCTTTATAACAACAGGGGCCTGGTGTGTCTTTTTATCCCTGATCGGGGCTTTTATGCTGTATAAATACATAGCTAAATAAAGTGAGTGTTCTAGTATACTTTTCTTTGTCACAAAAAGTTGTACCAGAATAAACAAGCACAAAACAAGGTTAACTTTTGTTATTACATTTACGTCTCTAGCATTTCTGTCAGTATCCACTATTGCTTCCCACTTTGCTAGCTAAAATTAATAAATGTTCCGTTTTAAAATGATCCCAGGGTTGATTTAATAAAACTTTTACAAGTGTAATTTACGAGTGTAGTCATTGTTTTAGGATCCGAGAACAATAGCCATTCTTGTAATTACATTTGTAAAAGTTTTATTAAATTGACTCCTGAATCTTGAAAAAACAACAGTGCAATCTTTTCTCAATGATACTATGACTCTCAAATGATTAGTGGCCACTATTAGTAATTACTGACACTAAAGTCAAGAAATAAGATTGTTTTTGAGAACCTGACTCACCCTATATTAATTACTTTCATTTACAGTTTATTTTAATAATTATTATTAAATATTACTTTCCAGGAAATTGCAGATGCCCCTGATCTTCCTAGGTGTAGCACTCCAGTGGATCCAGGAAAAATACAAGGACTCAAGCTGGTGAGTTAGTTTGCTGTAGTGATAAATGGCACATTTACCTCTTCCCTTTAAATGATTTAACTGAATGTCACGAAGGAAAAAGATCATAAGAAATGAGGTTTTCTGTCAGTTACACAGGCAACCTGAAGAAAATAAAACTATGTATTCTCCAAGGAGGAGTTGAATCTATAACCTTCTGTGTGGTTGCTAGTCTAAGTCAGGTGCTCTATTACCTCGATCAGTTAAGGAGACTTGAGGGAACTATCTCGTAAGGCCTATTACTACAGTAGGTTTATATGACAAACACCTTGCATACTGCTGAGACTGGACTGTTAATAGGTGGTACATGTATATAAGCCTGCCTGTCTACCCTGAAGAGAGATAGAAGGGTCCCTGCTCACAGGGTCTTGTTCAGTTGAACCTCTTGTTAAACATTAAACAACTTAATATTATTAATTCATTCAATTAACAGCCTGACACCTCTGCAATAACAGTCTATAATGAGAAGACTTCTGATCCTGTGAAGTCAAAATCTAAAAGCAAAAGTGAGGTAATTTTTCAAAGACCAACACGCTTTAAACCTGAAGCGGAGGAGTTTTTATAATGACTTACAAAAATGTTTAGACCACAAAAGTGGCCTTAAATATCATTACCTCTTTTTGGCAGCCACTAGCTTCTGATGTTGCAATGTCATGTGGGGTAGGCAATCTGCAGTGCAAAACTAGGAAATAACCCTAAGCAACATTTTTATTTTGAAAAACCTATCAAGTAAGGACATCTGAAATTCTAAGACTTTTAACACCCATGGAGAAAGATGAAAAAGTTATTCAGAGCAGAAACAAGAAGAACTGAGAATTGAAATACTACGATGGGATTACCTCTATTTAATGCCACTGGCAATCACCTCTAAAAGAGTATCTTATGACAACTATGGGAAGTAAGACATTTTTTATTTCTGCTCATTTCTCAGGAACCAGAATCCAGTAAAGAAGATTTGCCCAATGTTACTCCAGAGACAGTCTCCAAACAGGTAGGATATGTTCTTGTTTTCCACTTTACTGTTATAAGTCATACAGTTTCCATACAGTTATAAGTCTAAAGTGAATTTTGACTCTTGTTGTCAAGTGTTTTGTTTGTTTGTAATACGCTGTTAAAAATATTAAATATCCTATTATTATTATTATTAAGAGCAGTATTTAATTTATTGGTTTATTCCCATAGGACATTAATTTTAGTCCTTCATGTTGTTTAAGCAGATTTATCTACTTCTTCAAAGTAAGGCTTTTTTCTGTTGTACCATTATTTTGGTTTTTTCTTTTTTGTTACAAAGGACTGTATCACCATGAAGAAGCTTAAACAAAAGAGAAAGTTGGCATACAGCAAGGACTTGGATGAAATACCAGACTGTACCCTGCTCCATGCAAACACCAACAGAAAGCGACCAATTAAGTTGCTTTTTAAGTGTGATAAAAGTACTTGTTCTTATAGCAGTCCTTTGACAAATGTACCAATTGATACTCTCATCCAGAGTCCAGTTGATAAAATAAAAATAAGAATAGAACAATAAAAATCTATCAGGAGATAAAAAATAATATATATATACATAGAAGATATTACACGGTGGCGCGAAGAAAACAAGTGAGAAAACAATATTTTACAAATGAGCACAGCAAGTAAAATATTGTTTTTGCCACGAGAAAATAAAATTCATAATTGGTTAGAGAAAACACAGGTAAAAATCTTGCTAAGAAAACTGAGACTCAAGCTTGTCAGAATGCATCCATGCAAAGAGCTCATGAAAAAGAAGGAGCACTTTATTTTTTATTTGCAATGCAAATAAATTTACCCATACCAACAAATCTTTTAGGTCTCAATGTTCATGGTTTTCAATATTTTCAGATTTTTTGGAGAGTTAAATTTATAAGAGCTAACTAAGAGGTCACATGATCTGCTGTAAATTTGTAGTTGTAATGCATGGGAAAAGGTAATAATTGTACTTCTGCCATCAAATAAGGATATTAAAAAAATGAGCACATCTTTGAGGATCATTTTGAAATAAGATACTGGTCACTGCAAGGGCCTAGAGGTTTACACAGCCACAAAGCCATATTTCAATACTTGATTTTGATTTTGGTAGCCTGTAAGCTGGTACAGTCAACTCTTTCTAAGTCGGACACCTTTGGGGCCAGTACTAAGTGTCCGTCTAAGAGAGATGTTGGTCTTATAGAGAGTCAAATAAAGGGAGTAAAGAAAGGCAAGGACCAACTCTAGGTGTCCGTTTTACAGAGGTGTCCGTCTTATAAAGGTGTTTTTTAAGAGAGAGTCTACTGTACTTATATTTGGCTCTCACACCAGCTTTGCATGTCAACTTTCATGTCACTTAACCTTATTTTAGCAAAACTACTGCAAAACAACTTGCTTGCTCTCCAAAAAGATGACCTATTTGCAGGGATCCTTTAGCCACATTAATTTTATATAATTATGCCTCTGAAACAGCACATGGGTAACTATTTATTCAAACCCTGCTATTGTTTTATTCAGGGATGCACTTTCACTAATTATGTACAAAATTGTTGTGAAAATTTACTAAAAAAAAGCAACTACATGTACGTGTGTACAGTGTATATATTAATTAAAATTGGAGAAGTTCAACAGAAAAGATTCAGTGTTTTAAGGTTGTTTATTTTCTGCTACAAATATTTGACAAATTGAAATATTTTAACATTATAATAAAGATGGATTATTGTTGTCGCATTTAACCTGAAATAAAACATTGTTCATGGTTCAATGTTTATAATAATAATTATTGTTGACTCCAGGTACATGTACAGCTCATTTACTTTTTTAAAAAAGAGAAGAGACAATAAAATCTAAGAAAAAATACAATGTAATGAACAACTTTCTCTAGGCATGTGAAAGAAAAAGAAAGAAATAGAAGAAAGCAGAACTGTAAAAGCTTGAGTACACAAAGCTTGCACTCAGTTAAACTCATCCCAAAATCTTCATCTTAAGTTGTGGCAACTTATTGTAGGTACCAATTCTCAGAATGATAAACTATTCAATCATAGGATGGCAAGTAGTGTTTTCATAACTTCAACACTGAGCCTGTTTGCTTAGACTGGAAAATCAAAATTCTAGAGGTGAAGGACTCCTTTACTTCTTCTTTCCATTTGATTTCTTGTTCCCTGTTGGTTTAGCAAAGAATGAAGGATCCAGCTGGTCCAGAGGAACACCTTTGGTAGCAAACAGCCGCTGAGCTCTTTGCTGTAATGTCCCACCACATTTGAGCCCCCTTGTCATCAGCTCCTCCTTAAGACATTGCATTCCTACTGATTCAAGTTGCTCTGCTGAAGTGTAGTCATCCAGACAAAGCTTAACCTACAAGAAGAAAAGTTACTTCACTGTTCTTATGTTTCCTCCTGGTATCATGCAATGTATAGTGTATAATAGCAGGGTTGTCAGAAAGTTTTGAAGTAGATGGCTGAGTAGTCAAAGTAAGCGGCTAGTCCAGGGATATTTAATTTAAAAAACGCCATCCATAAAGAAATGCCAAGCAGAGTAGCTGGCCGATACTAACCAAATAGGCGGGAATTTTCACCGGCAGCCGGCTACTTTTGACAACCCTGATGACAGTCATACACAAAATCAATCCTGGGTTACGACACACTGTTTTCCTTTCTTGCTTGCCATTTTGATGATAATGCATTACACTCAGAATAATATTTTAATGTGAACTACAACATGTTACACTTTTACTTCACTCACCTTTTCTGCAGGCTGTATGTCGGGAACCTTGTCCTTTTCACTAACTCTATCTTCTCTTGGCCCTCCTCCTTGGTTTATTTTTTCTAGCGGTGAATCAGAGTCTTTTTCCTGGAAATCTTTTGTTTGATCTTTGGTTTCTCCTTCCAACTCATTCTCTCCCACAATTTCCTCTGCTCCAGTCTCCATGCAATGTCTGTTTTCAAAATTGTTATATGATGTTGAGGGTTCAACATGGGTGCTGGTACATGATGTAGTAGTTGAAGTACACAATGCAGGAATATCTTTACTTTCATCTCTTGAAGTAACTAACACGTCATCATCTTCATCGCTGTCAAGATCATCCATTCCTAACCTGGACAAAAACATGACAAAAAACGGTTCTTCTAAAGTTTCAATAAATGACAGAAACTTTAAAAATGGTTTGGTACCTATGAATGTGAACAATGACAGTCACAACTATTGGGTGTACTTTTTACGGCAGTTTTACAAGCAGTTGCTAAAAGGATTATAATAATATAGTCTTAAGATTTTGGTTCAAAACAAACAGTTAACATTTTATTAGCATTCCTGAGTACCTTAATGACAAAAAAGGTTTCCCTGTTATTGTCATACAACTTATTGAGAGAGGCACCAATTGCGTGGTATAGCTGTACTAAGTCAGTCAACAACAACAAAAAAAAACTGCACTTAGTCAGTAAGAAGCAAAAAATTGTTTAGTCCTGTAAACATTATGGTAGTTTTTAAAAGGGTAGTGTTCCAAATCACTAACACCTCCCAGCCTCCCAAGTGCTCTCCCACATTCCCAGCTTGCCATATTACTGAACACTTCATCAAATCACTTTAATAGGGTTGTCACTAAGATTTCAGGTCTACTTAATTAGGTTCTATTTCCCTTTTGTTTCCTATGGAAGTAGCTGGAGGTAATGCTCATAGAAGCAGGGCTGTCATTTGTAGCCAGTAGCCGCCTTTTTAGTAGGCTACTGTAGTAAAATCAACCGGCCACTCAAAGTTTCTAAATAAGTCAAGCATTACAAACATAGAAGACTTTAAGCGATAAATAACCTGTTACTTTTCGCAAGAGCCTGGCTACTTACATTATTAAATCTTAATGACAACACTGTAGAAGCTGGGAAAATCCCTGGTCCCAAGCTCTTAGTGATTGCCCTGGTCTAAAGGACATTTTTTCTTGCAAACCTAACCTAACCTAACCACCAGCCTGTCATACAATAATTATTACTGCACTGCTACACAAGCTGGCCATTCTACCAAAAATTCCAAAGAAGATCTTACATATGAGCATTGAGAAAAAAGACTTTTTTGTAAACAGAGATGGGATAGTTAAAAATAATAAAGTGTCTAGTAAATTTATTGCCAACGCTTTTAGGCAGACAAAGATTGTAAAAGATACATGAATGGAAACTCACAACATCCTGCTTTTCTTGCTTCCACTTGAAGTTGATGGTTCATCAGCAAGGACACGTTTGACTGCTGTTTTCTCGGAGGATGTTGAAGTGCTTGTTGATGCTGAACTTCCTGCAGCTTTAAGACCTGTGCAAATAGTTTACTCACTTTATTATGTTCCAGGGCTCTTTGACAAGGGTGTGCTCTAAGAAAACTCAAAGGGAGCCCAGTGCCTTGAACCTGTGAAATCCAGGGTGCTCAGCTTGATATTTCTATGGAAAAACTAAGATCTTCTAGTCGCCTGGGGCCACAGCCTTGCTTTGAGAATCAGCAGAACAAGAAGAGACAGATAGAAGAATTGATGGGTGGACGGAAGGAATGGATGGGTATTGATTCTGATCGTTACCAAGGGGCAGTAACATAAAGGCTGTTGGTGGTTCCCAAAAGACAATTTTTTATTGATAAAGGATAGAGAACAACAGCTGCAGCAAATGTGAAAATATGAAAATGTTTTACCTTGCTGCAAGGCATCTTCAATTCGTTCACAAGTTTCCTGGATGTGTTGTGTATATGTTGCATCATCAAATGTATGTTTAGGCGTTTGTCTCTTTCTCTCCATCCGCAGTTGTTTTTGTCTTTCTTTTTCACGCTCCCTCTCAGCTTGTTTAGAAACCCACTCAGCTATTCTAAAAGATATAAAGATCAAAGAAAAAATTCCCTGAGCAAAAGATCATGAAAAACATCTCTTACAAGTCCAAGCCAAAGGGAGAGTAAAAATATTGAAGAATCCTATCCAAATCCCAGAAAAGAAACGAATCCCCAAAGTAACGACTCCCACAAAAGTCTCCTAATACTATTAAAAAGTAACAGGGGGTTTTACTCTTAATATAAACACGTAAAAACAATAAAACAATAAAAAGTTTGGTCAGTTGTCATGAACTCCCAAAAGAAAGAAAGTGGTCACAAATACTAAAGGTAACAAGATCAATGTTTTCTCAGTTGCCATTTCTGGCTACAGTGGGAAGCAACATACTGTTATGGTAGTATGATATGTGTAGAGACCTTTGTTTAAATTTAAAAAAATCAGCTGAAAGATTTCAAGGCTGTGCTGTAAGGAAAAGTGCACTGAAACTGTAAAATATAGGGTGCCCAGCATATGATCTGTACGAAAAATCTGAGATTTTCTAGTCGCCTGAGGGCAAAAGTTAGACGCCAGGGCCACTGGGCTCTGGATTCCTACTTTTTCTCATCGTTGATATCCCTCATTCGTCTCCCACTCAAGTCCCTGCAAGCTTCTCTGTTTGTTGTCTTCTCTATCTGTGCACCAAGTGCCCGCAGCATGGATCCGAACCCTCCTTTCCCACCAGGGAGATGCAGAGCTGTGTAACAAACATCTCCAGCTTGAAGGTGAACTTTACTGCTATCTGCGATGACATGGCCATTGTGAATGACAAACAGTTTTTCCACTGGTATGCCCTGCCATTTAATAAATATTTATAGCCAAGTCACATTAAAGTCATCTTGACCAAACAATGATCATAAAGTTACCGTCAAACACCACTTTATAGACACCCACTTAATATGGACACTTCACTATTATGGACAGTTTGCTTTGTCACTGTTACATTTTTCTAAATCCAACCCGCTTAATAAGGACACCCCATTAAAAAGGACACTTTCTATGGCCTCCTCAGTGTCTTTATTATTGTGGTTTGACTGTATGTCGTCAAAAGCTGTGGACCCATACAGCTGCACAGGCACTGTCTTTTTACTCTTCCTCCTATTTTCAGCCTCAGAGAAAAAGAAGTACACTTTATTTAAAATGTGTTATGTGCATTTCTTTAAAACGTTTTTCTAGGTTAAGAGGCAGTGTATCTGATCTGTCAGAGCTCAAATTACCTCCGGGGTTTGGGCAAGATGACTTTCTGGTGACTTGACCAGTGACATTACTTTGTACACGTTCCCACAAAACTGTAAAAATAATTTATCATCAGCCAGGTACAAGGGTTGCAGTTGGTTTTGAGTGGATGAAAATGAATGTAATAACACTTCATCAGAAACAACTAATAGATAAAATTTTTAATACATATATTTTTCTAGGATATTTCAAGATTATGCTTCCGACGTATATGCTTAAAAAGAAGACAGCAACAGTTTGCTGAATCATTTAATAAAATCTGGCTAAACGCTATTACTTTACCCTGAAGTCCACAGCTACCTTATAATATTTGATGTCAATTTGAAAGGTTTAACACTTTAACAAAGATTGTCGTGATATCTGAAGACTTGCATACACAAAGATCAATATTTTTAGTGGACAAAAACCTTGTACCAGAAAAATTTAAAGAATATTACATTGTTTTTTTCCATTTTTCAAGGGCTAACGATGTAATTTGTCATCTGTAATAACACCAAAGAAAATTTATCATGGGAGTCCGAGAAAATTAATGTCAAAATTCACATGCAAGATTTGTGAAAACAAAGGTAAAATTCTAAAAATTTCATGTGTAAGATGTAATTTTGTGAAATTTGACATTAATTTTCTCGGGCTCCCATGGGAAAATTAATTTAGTTTGGGGTTACTACAGATGACTAATTACATCTTTAGCCCTTGAAAAATGTGAAAAAGAATGCAATATGCTTTAAATCATTCTGGTACAAGGCTTTTGTCCACTTAAAATTAATATTACTCAATTTCCTGATGGATTCAGTCTTAAAGCATAAGCTTAACTCCGTGCACCTCCGTAATAATGGAAACAGAATTTGATGTTTTTTTATTGCATTTCGGCAAGAGATTATGGACAAAGATTGAATAAGACTTACCCCACAACATTCAGATGCAATCTGTTTCAATTGCCGTCCATTTTGAACCTCATAATCATCAACATTCAAGCAAAAGAGCTCCCGATGTAGAGCGTACAAGAAGGCAGACATCTTGGGTTGTTGCGAAAACAAGGACTCATGGGTACTATTTCATTGCAGGCGCAGGACCCCTCACCGACCAATGCGGGTCCACAGGTAGCCCAAACTCACGTTACAAGTGGTTACGAGGACAGGGTGTTCTAAACACCTTTGGGTGCACAGGGTCCCAAACAATCTGTTTGTGTAGCCAATTGTTATTTTATAGCCTGCGTAGCAGGCGCTTGGAAGTAGTGGGCACAAGAAAAAACGGGCGCGTGAGAAGGCCTCATGTCACCCCTCGCGTGTCTCCCTCGCGCGCGCCCTTTCTCTCTTTCACCTACCACTTCCAAGCTCCGGGGGGGGTGGGGGGGGACTCCCATATAAAACAGACGGGGATGCTCGTCGTCTCGCTTAGGGGTGTAAATTTTGAATTTTGGTCTCGCTTAGGGTGTTCCGGGCAAAGCGCTAATATTTTAAGCCGCCAAGGTCTCGTTTAGGGTTCCGCGAAGAACTTGAGATTTATGACAATGCTTTTAAAAACTACTTTTAGATAAGAGCATTCGATGATTATGTCTTTACATCATTATAACTCATTGCATGTCGTATTTGTGTGTTTTTAAGCGGTCTCTTTTAGGGGTCAAAATTTGCTTAAGCCACGCCCAGATTGGTCTCCTTTAGGGGTCACAAAAAGCTTGAGCCACTCCCAGATGGTCTCCTTTTAAATAGGGGTTAAATTCAAAATTTCCGACGAGCATCCCCGTCTGTTTCATATGGGAGCCCCCCCCCAGGTTCCAAGCGCCTACTACGCAGGCTAGTGACAATTTGCCTCCATCCACGAGCAGGTAACGGTGTATCGCGAGTTGCACAGTGGGAAGGTCCCTGGGTCCATTTCAGAGGCAGCACCAGACAATCTTAATGCACCAAATATCACACAAGCCGCTGCTTTATTTACACAACTCAAACAACGTACGGAGCAGTCTTCTTCAATCGATTTTGATGCTTGGAAAAAGGGGCCGATTATGAAATATAAAGAGATAGGGAGAGCAAGCTAGGAAAGGTCAGTAGGCTGTCCCTATTGAAGGATGCAAGGGCACAAAACATAACCTTGGAGACTGATACTCGGCCTCTCAGCAAGCAACACAGTTGCTTGAGAGTGATGAGCAAAATAACACTCATCCTACGCAAACCAATCAGCATGTATGCGCAGTTCTATCCACTTTTGTGCTTACTGTAACCCACCCAGCCCATGATTTGAATGATGCGTGCAATGCGATGAGATAGACCACACCACAGGGGAAACTCCCCCTGAACTTTTTGAAAAGTCATGTGGGCTCTTTTACATCCTCTTTGAATTGACTAATGAGAAGATGAAAGAGACCAGGGCAACTCCTAACATCACTGCCCAATGCCATGGTTATCTGAGCAAAGGAGAAAAATAAGAACTACATGATCTTTCCAGCTTTAAGACCCTGGTTGGTGGTCTGGCCAGGATTTGAGCCCTCTTCCCCCCACTGAGCAAACTCATCTGGTGCTCTTCCAACTAAGCTAACCGGGAAGCAGTTTGCTAAGTTGGAAGGGGCAACCCAATATAACCAGGTTGAGATACATACATCCTCAGAGATGCTAGGGGCAGCTATTTAGGATTAGTCATTTTAAAAATAGCTTACAACAAGAACAAGAGATCAACCCCTGAGACATTCAGACCAGAATGAGTAAGAAAAAGTACCCAGAGGCTCTCTCATTCTTGTTGTAAACTTTTATGCATAATGCCCAGGGCAGTGTTCCTACCAGATTATCTACCTCTGGGCATCTCATCATGAGGATACCGAAGATCAGGTCTGGCACATACCTCCCATAGATAACTTTCTAGCCTCTGAGCCGGCAGGATCAATAGCACAAGCAAAGTTTAGGCGAAGGAGCTGAGAAGCCATATGGAGAATGGGGAGGAGATTCTTTGAAATCTTGCTTTTGTGGCAAAGCTGCGAGAATGGCAGCTTTTACCGCCAAAACTCTCACACATGCAAAAACAATTCTGTCAGCTATACAGGCTAATAACTTTCTTCCATTAATACTCTGCTGCCTACAAATCCCAAATTAATGGCCGCAGGTATTGTAATAATATTTCATCCAGACCCCTAAAAAAAATTTCACCAAATTCAAAATGAGGTGGCATGTCAGTATGGTAGCACCACCTTCAGCTTGATTCTTGGATGGTCTCAAGTCACTCACTTCCTTCTTAAACCATTATTTTGAAACAGGCCACAATAGCTTTTTATGTAGTGCATGTTTTTACTAACATCCCGGTTAGCACCATACATTGCTATAAAAAGGAATGCTTTTATTATACCACACAAGCGACGTTTCTTTATAAAAACATTTGCACCATGAAAAACCTATCATTATGAAATACTGGGAAAACCATGAACACCAGAAATGTTTCTGGAATGTTATTGTGTTGCAAGAAAAAGCCAATCAGATGTGACAAAACTGATTCGCGGGCAAGAACGTTAATTAGTTTGTGGTTTTGTGGCTAGTTTGCATGTCCTGATCTTTGCTGTGATTGGTCATGACACAATAAACATTTCTGAGATTTTCACGGTTTTCTGGGTTGCACCATAATACCTATGGAATACATCTTCACATATAGATATGTATTTTACGGACTTGAAACCAAGAGTTTCTGTCTTGTGCCCAGTTTATTAAGGTAGGTTATATTACATCAATTATTTGATTGATATTTTGTTCTAAACAAAGGAATATTGGCTCTGGGGAGGTTGGCAAACTTAAAAAAAAAACACTCAGTATATGAACTTTGTTCTATAACTACAAAAACTAAAGAGTATCTGTGATAATTTTATGAAACAAGATACTTAACTAAACTTTGTCTAGTAGGGATGTAAGAATATACAACTAAGTAATACTATTTAATACCTTTCCAAAAATTGTTTTTACATCAAATTGGTTTAACTTGCATTAACAGGTAGTCATAAATATTTCAGGTGTAATATTGTTAAGACTGATTTTCCTTTCATAAGTTTGCAGCTTAAATATATTTAGCTGCCTTTGTTAATGTTCTCCTATCAATATTTTCAATGAAAAAGAAAACAGTGAAAATAAAAAGATTGAATTTGCAATAATTATACCTAACTATGGTCACATAAAGTTGTAAGTTCTTTAAAAACCCTATTAGACCTTTGAAAAGATGTAAAAAAAAGGAATACATAATAATATCATTATTGCTGACATAGTCTCTATCTCAAGCCAAACTAAAACATTGTGGTTTAGAGGTAATAACACCTTCAATAGTTTTTCTATATCATTAATACTCATTAATAAATTTAGACTCTCAGTAAGGTTTACATGCTGACTCTCCCACTTAAAGCATGGGTCTGATTGTGCCTGCAGATCAAAAACTTTGAACTCACAGTGGCTCAAAATTGCAGAACAAGGTTTCCGCCACACCTGGTGGAAAAAGTTAAGCAACAACAGCCTTAACTAAAACATTTTCAAAAACACACAGGACGTAAATTATTTACTTGAACTAAAGTTAGAAAAAAAAAAACCCTATGAATGATTTTTCACTTTCCCAAAAATGTCCACTTTCCCAAGGTAGACCACAGGAGACAAGGTTGTGTTTAGCATGTAGCATAATGCTCCTGGGAATGAAAATGAAGAGCTTTGGATAACTAGGGATATGACTATTGGATCCTCTACTGAGGGGCGTAAAAAAAACAACTTCGAAACGTACAAGCCATGCAAATGACTTTGCTCCCAGGGAACGATCTAACATAAAAATAGACCTATTCGGCTAACGCAATGTTGTACCCAATTCAGATCTCTCGGGGTTAAGATTCTTTGTGCACTGTATTTGCATTATAAGGTGGCATTCACATTTAAATGATATGGAAATTCCTGAAACAAAACGTTTTATTCCCAAAGGGTTTGAATTGGGTACAACATTGAGTTAGCCGAATAATTCGGTCTATGTTCAGACCACAAACAAAAACAAATTTTTGAGCCTCAGGCCGAGTTGAGACACAGAATTCAAGAGTTGAATCAAATTTAGTGAATTTTAAGTCCCTGTGAAGCATGGCGTCATCAAAATCAATTCCAAACGGCTACTAAAATGAATTTGGATTTGTTCAACTCAGCCATTCTTCACACTCGAATCAAATTGAACATTTTATTAATCTGACTCAATCGAACTCGAGTGTGTTGGATTACTGAACTTAATTGAACGCAATCATTCGATGAAATTTGGTTGGGTTCAATAAAGTTCGATTACCAAACAGTTCCAAGGCTTATGCCCGGAACTATGTAAGGCTATTTTTTTGTATTTTCCACCCGTTATTTACTTTGTGAACTACCAAAACTGAGTAAATACTAATTCCTTACAAAGAATAGTAACATATTGTTCACTGAAATTTCAATTCTTGTACAAGAATACAGCAAGTGAGATTTCATTTTCCAAAACAATCATAGGAAACATATTTGAAGTGTGAATTAATCCTTCATGTCCACGTTTGCTCTCTCGCTCCTCCTTTTGTTACTGGAAACTTCATTAGAATGTACATGTGGGCCGATTCTTAAAAATATCAAATATCTGGTGCAGGGGAAGGGACTTCAGTAGTCTTGAAAACATCTTCACACAACTCCAGGTCCACTTGTAGGTTTTTCTTCGATATAATCTGGCGGCTGATCTTGTCCGGAAGACTGTTGACGAGCTTCGCTTTGCATGCTTCTGTACTCCTTGAAGTGAAGAAAGCACTCGACGGCAAACAAGACCAAGCAGACGAAGCCGAAGAAAGCAGCTGCCCCAGCGGTACTCTTGCTTGTTGAACACCAATCAGCTGCAGCAACTGAAGCAGCAAGACTGGAACCAATAAGAAAACCAACGACCGCCAGCAAACACAGCACTGTATGAACCGCAGGATGACGGAAAATCCAAAGAAGTCTATCCCACAACCCAACGAGATGGATTATCATGACGATCAAGGCGTTGATGAAGGCCGTCCATGCGACAAAATCGAAAAAGCCGAATTTCG